AATACAGTACAAAGTCTTTAATCTGGAATGATCTATAATCCGGACCTCAAAGCTACAAACTTTCTGCGCATGCATAATGCATTTACGCATGCGCATAATACCTTTACGTATGCGTTTATGTATGCACATAATACATTTACGCATGTGCGTTTTAATGTATAACGGACGGTATAAGCTAAGCTAAAATTATCTAATTATCTATTTCAGCTAATGTTGCAGATTGCGTTGTTCTATAATCTTCAAATTGGATCCGGCTTATTATTTTTGGCAGACTGTAGAGCAATTTTATAAAAGTGAGCTTGAACTTTCGATGATGTCAAAAAGAATTTCTGATTCTGGAGCTGCCAAAGGATCTGCAAAGCGAAAGCATGTTTCGATGTCCATCAAACAAAATGTAGAATTGCTGCAAAAATGGATAAAGGCCATATCCTTTGTTTCTCTAACCATTCCGAAATCTGTTTATATTTTTCACGCTGCTCTGCGTGTGTGTGTGGGGGGGGGAATGTCGCGGCATGCAATGATTTGGAAGTTGATCTGTCAGCACTATCCTTATCTTCAGGGCAGATGTTTTTATTTTATTCAGCTTATAATTCCTTACTAAATGTAGTATTTTCATCTCGATGTACCCATCTTTGTTATGATTTAAATCAAATTCCTCGTCATTATAAATATTACGAATATACATCGAATAGTTTTCTGGTTGCAATTTTCTAATTTCGACTATGCGTAATGTATGCACATGCATGCGTTGAAAGAAATGTTTAATAAAGTAAACAAAAAATAGAAAGTTTTTTTTTTTTTTTTTTTTTTTTTTTTTTTTTTTTTTTGTAAATTTTGATACCCTTTAGGTCATAATTGCTCTTTATTTCATTAATTACGGTTTCATATTTTTAATTTTGTAATTTCTGCATGCCATCTTACCAGATTTAAACTGATGATCTATAATCCGGGATCGCTGAAGTCATTTTGTCTTCACGAAGTAAAAACATGTTTCTTTTTTTTTTTACTCAACACTTTTTCCAACAATCTACTAGCCGAATTACACTTATGCTAAAAATTTTATGTAACAAAACTGCTTAATCATGACAAATTTTAACTGCAAAATTGGGAAAAGTGCACAATCGCAAACTCCTTGCGTGTTTTTCAGAATAGCACATACACATAAACCATTTACACGTCGACTTATTTTTACTTAAAAAAAATCCCAGAATTGCACAAAAATGGCATTGCACACACTCTTAACTTTATCCATCTACACTGCTATTTTCTCATAAATTAAGAAAATTTACACGAAAATGCAGGAAATTTTTCTTAATCTTTAAACTCGGTAAAAAGCACATATGTGAAATTACCTGATCGCGAAAAAGTATATACCCTTTCCAAGAATGAACATTTCCACGTATAAAATAAATAAAATATCCAAAAGCTTTTACTTCTAAATTATCTATTATATTATAAATGTCACCAACGAATTTATATGCAAACGTTAAAAATAGTTACAAATACTTAGTGTCAAATATTTAAATTATTTCCATACACGTTTACTTCAACTGAAACGTATACCAAATTCCTACAAACATAAAATTCACAAAATAACTATCATTTAATTAAAATATCACTAAACCATGTACACGTTGACTTATTTTTTCTTAAAAAAAATCCCAGAATTGCACAAAAATGGCTTTACGCACACTCTTCACTATATCCATGTACACTGCTTTTTTCTCATAGATTAGAGAAATTTCACGAAAATGCATGAAAATTTTGTGAATCTTTAAATCAGGTAAAAAGCACATATATGAAATTACCTGATCACGAAAATGTATATACCCTTTCCAAGAATGAACATTTCCACATATAAAATAAGTAAAATATCCAAAAACTTTTACCTCTAAATCATCTATTGTATTATAAACATCACCAACGAATTTATGCGCAAACATTAAAAATAGTTTCAAATACTTAGTGTCAAACATTAAATTATTTCCATACACGTTTACTTCAACTGAAACGTATACCAAATTCCTACAAACATAAAATTCACAAAATAACTATCATTTAATTAAAATATAACAAAACCATGTACACGTCGACTTATTTTTACTTAAAAAAAATGCCAGAATTGCACAAAATTGGCATTGCGCACACTCTTCACTATATCCATGTACACTGCTTTTTTCTCATATATTAGAAAAATTTCACGAGAATGCATGAAAATTTTGTGAATCTTTAAATTTGGTAAAAAGGACATATATGAAATTACCTGATCGCGAAAAAGTATATACCCTTTCCAAGGATGGACATTTGCACATATAAAATAAATAAAATATCCAAAAACTTTTACCTCTAAATTATCTATTATAAATGTCACCAACAAATTCATAACAAAACATTAAAAATGATTACAGATATTTAGTGTCAAATACTTAAATTCTTTCCATGCACATTTACTTCTACTCAAACGTATTCCAAAACACTACAAACATATAACTCAAAATCACGATCATTAAATTAAAATATAATTAAATTAAAAAACACTATTTAAAATATAAATAAGCACATACATTCATTAATTAATATTAGCTTACAATCCTAATTACTTTAAACTAAATCATTGCTAATAACAATTTTCCAATAATACCATATTAATTTATTTACTCCTTACATTTAGAACAATGCATAAAAATAATATCCTCAAATAATTAAAAATACTAACTTACCTAATCTTCTACAGAATCTTGAGTGCATGGCGGATCACAAAATGTCCATTTTCACCAGGTTTCTTGCACCGCCATTCAAACTATTAATTACAAACAAGCAATTAAGCAATTCTTTTCAATTACACATAAACGTAATAAAAATTTCGGATTTTCTTTATATATGGCCATGGGATCCAAATATTAAACAACACTGTTTCACAGAACATAGAATGAAACTACTCCTATAAAGTACAGCAGATATTTTTACAAATATACCCCCATTTCCGATTAAAGAACAGTGATTCGTCCATTGATGTCACATGACATATCTCATGATCTCTCATTTCCCTCACACAAAATAATGCGTAATCGGAACTGAAAACTTCTCACATTATTCCCAAAGTCCTAGGTAGTAACCTTTATTGCCTCCAAAATGTCGACAAACTACCTGTTATTATATTCCAAAGATCAGCCAAGAATTTACATATATATATATATAATTGCAAACTCTAATAATGGGAGGGGGGAATAAATTTATTCAATTAGGTCAATATTTCTATAAAAATATGACCTTAAAATTAATACAGTCAAAAGTCGTTAATTCGGACACCCATAATCCGGACCTCAAAGCTACAAACTTTCTCGCATGCGTGGCGTTGACGCATGTGCATAGGCGTTTACGTGCGCGCGCGTAAGACCTTTACGGCTGTGAATATGCTTGTGCGCATGCTCATAAAACATTTACGCATGCGCGTTTAATGTATAACGAACGGTGTAAGCTAAGCTAAAATTATCTAATTCAGTTAATGTTGCAGATTGCGTTGTTCCTTAATCTTCAAATATTTTTTGCAGACTGTTAGAGCAATTTTATAAAAGTAAGCTTAAACTTTCGATTATATCAAATAGAATTTCCGATATATATTTGTTAATATGTAAAGGATCTAAAGCGAAAGTATGTTTCGAAATCCGAAATCTGTTTATCAATTTCACCCCGCTGAGTGCAATGAATTGGAAGTTGATCTGTCAGCACTATCCTTATCTTCAGGGCAGATGTTTTTATTTTTTTTGGCTTATAATTCCTTACCAAATGTAGTATTTCATCTCAATGTACTCTGTCTTTGATATGATTTAAAACAAGTTCCTCGTCATTATAATTCGTTTCCGATAGTGAAGAAAGTGACAGAGGTTATTGAAAACGAAACAATTTCGATTGACAAATTAGTCGGTATTCTCGACAACAGCAATTATAGGACTTGAACAGCGGAACTTTGTAACTAAACAAGAAATTATGTCTGTTTAATAGAAAGAGAAAGTATTATCACATGAAACGAAGTAACTTAAACAACTTACATTGAAAGAAATGTTTAATAAAGTAAACAAATAAATATTAAGCTTTTTTTTTTTGTAAATTTTGATGCTCTTTAGATCATAATTGTTCTTTATTTCATAAATTACGGTTTCATATTTTTAATTTAGTAATTTCTGCATGCCATCTTACCAGATTTAAACTGATGATCTATAATTCGGAAAAATCGATAATCCGGGAGTCCGGATTAACGACTTTTGACTGTATTTAAAGTAATAGTTGCACGCGTGCAAAAAATAGATAAATAAAGTCAATCCTTGATTTATTCTCGTAAGTACACCACTCAGATACTATTTTTTCATAGTTGGACAAGCAGTATATATTTGTAACTGATTAAGAGCAAGCATGCATTTATTCTGTTGTTATCTTGATTCATAGTGAATTTCTTCTGTAAGGCCATAAAGCTGCCTTAGGAAGCTGTTTTCCTTTAAACATGTTATACAGGTATTGGATACTACGGTGGCAGTGAACAAACAGATCCTGGTATGATGATATTGAACTTATAAACTTGTACTGATGGAAGTCATGAAGCTTATTCTGAAGATGGATTTGTAGAAATATATCCATGCACTGGTTAAAATCCTCAGCTTGTTTTTAGTTACGCTGTATAAATATTAGTTGCTAAATTTTAAAGTCAGGAAGTAAAATTTTTAGCAAAATGCTAAAATTCATAAAAGATAGCATATGCAAATTCCATTTAAATGTACTTAACTAAAGCAGACTCTCAAATGGCAAAACTTAACTCTGTCTAATATATTGAAATATTTATAATTCTCAGGCTTTTGCCTGATGTTTTGTTTTTTAACCATTGTTCAGTTTATTGTTAAGTAGCTTGGTAAGCTACCTTTGTAAATAGTAGCCCTTTTTATATGCTTGGATGTAAGTTTATTTTTTCTGACATGATCTGAATTTTTGTTTTATATTCAATTAGTTGGAATACCTGAAGCAAAAAAGCTGGCTGTGTCTGAGGAGAGTAAAGGTAGGTCTTCTTGCATAATAAATGTGTATTACTGTTATGTTTTTCACATAAATTTTGCACGACGGAAGTATAGATCAACTTGCAAAATAATTAATACATTTTTTATACATTTCCTGTTAATTAATGCAGTCTAAATATTTATCCTAAACTGTACAGTTAATTAATTTGTTAGTATATTATATAATAAAAATGTTGTTTTTCAGAAATTTTGAAAGTTTTGTAAAAAAAAAAAAAAGATATTGGTTAAATACATTTTAATATAAGAATTTATATGTTCATATTTTGCTAATTAATAGTTCAGGATTTAATTCTTGGCTCTAGTGTAGAATTGGGTGCCCCTTCAATTGGCTACACATTTTGTTCAGTTTTGGCGATGAAACCCAAATTCTGGTTACTATGATAGTTTTAACTTGGTTTTAGCTTTCTCATTTTTTAAAGTAAAAATAGGTCGATGTGTATATGGACAAAGTTAAGACAATGCGCAATGCCTAGTTTGTGTATGTGATTGTTTTTAAGTGAAAATAGATCGATGTGTACATGGACAGAATGTGCAATTGTTCGACTTCTTATTTTGGTTTTATGTAGCGGCCATCTTGACATTGTGCCTTCTTCCTGCCGATCTGTGTGTCAAAAAAGGATCGCAAAAACAACAAAGGGCACCCAATTGTAAACTTTTACGTAATTCTTAATGCTGCCATTATACATTTCATAAACAGGGCTAGATTAAGATGGTGTAAGGCTTTAGACACATCTTTTCAGGGAATTTTGGGATCAGGATTAATTATGTTTGCTTTTTATATGAAAAACATTGGACCGTTTGGGTCTAGGAAGTAATGAGTATAAAATGATTTTCTGGTAAGGTAGAAATCTTAAGTTTTTATCTTCTTGATAAATCTTGATTTGTTTTTATCTTCTTGATAAATCTTGATTTAGTTTGTAGATTCTTTTTCTTCTTTAGACTGAGTTTGTCAGGTATCGGGCACTTCTGCTAAATAGTATTTTGTGCCAAGCACAACCAACCCAATGCTTCCCCACACCATTTGTTTGGTCGCCAACTTTGTTTATAAAGTTTAACAGCTCCTTAATAGAGCTCAGGTGTAACTCTTTAGTATTGGGAATACCTAAATTAGTGAAAGTATCAGAAGTTCGAGGTCAGTAACCTGTTCCTCCGATAAAACGTTTTTCAGGATGTCCTTCAGTTCAGCCATCTGGATCACCGTAAGAGCATCCCTTAAGGCAGTGGTTCTCAACTAGTGGTACGCAAGAGAGAAATGCAAAGGAGCAAAGTATTTTCAACTATTAAATTAAAAATTTAAAACCTCAATATCTTGATTGAGTTTTTTCTCTAACACTCGTAAATTTAAGCTATCTGAGCTTTGTTCAAGAGTGGTGGTAGTAGTAGTAGTACTTTGTAGTGGTGGTACTAAATGTTTTCAATTTTTGTTTAGATGGTACATATTAGTCAAAAGGTTGAGAAACACTACCTTAAGGTATAGCCTTCAGGTCTGTCTCTTTTGGCAGTCGTCACTGCTGTATTGCCATTGAGATTGATTGCCTTTTTTCACCTTTCCCCTTGGGTTTTTCAACTCAAGTTACGGGAGGGGGTTCGCGGCTTCTTATTATTTAAAGCTATTCTGTCAGATAATCCTCGACATCCCGGTTATCCACCACCTGCCGACATGTCTGGTAGCTGCTCAAGCCCAGGTTTAGTTTGTATATTAAGGAGTGTTGTAAAATAGCCACTTTCTTCTGTAGTAATATGCAGCAAAATTCTTAGAGCAAAAAATTAAATACATTAGTGTTCAGTTAAAGTATTCTGAGGCAAAATTCTCAGATTTTCCGTTTATTTTCTGATAAATGAGGTGGATTGATTTTTTTCCTGTGCAAAAACTGAAATTTAGTAAGTACTTTTGTATTTTATAATAACATAAGCATATTTTTTGCTGCTATCTGATTAATAATTATTCAGTTTGCAGTTTATTCTAAATTGTGTGAACATCTAAATTGTATGAATATGATAAGTAATAGATTCATATTATATGTATATTGAATATATAACTTTTATGATTTATTTTAGGTATTGTTCAGCAGTTATCAACCATGCAGACCCAGAGGTAAATCTTCACATTTTTTCTTTAATACTATGCAGATCTGGGTAATTAACGTTATCACTGTGAAAAAGAATTGCCACCTCTATGATTTATGACCAAAGTTGATAGCCAGCTGGTGATTAGTTTTATTTAACACTTCACACAGTCTATTCTTATCCCTTTTTTACTTTTACGTTTTAAATACCTTAGGCAAACTGAATGTACTTTTTGCTGATGGGAATTATTATCAGTTTTCTATTTAATGAGGAGTGAATAAATTTATAGTTTTTCAAGAAAAAGACATTTTACCATGTAAGAAATGTGTAAAATTATGAAATGCATCTAGGTAAGAGAATAGGTATGCAACAAATAAATGCCAGTTTGTTATATTTTACTTCTTTAAGTAATGATTTTGTTGTTTTCAAAGTTTTTTCGTACACAGTTCACTTTCGTGCTTAGCGCTATAATATTTAATACCCATATCTGTAAATAAGATGTAAGTGTATGTTACGAAATTATTTTGATGCCCTTTTACAGTTCATATTTTTTGTTTTAGGGGGCATATTTTTTCAAGTGTGTTTAATTAACCCTTTTTAAACTGAAAATACTTCTTGTTTTAATTATCTTATTAATTTATTTTGCACAAATTTGTTGCACTTACCAAAATTTCCCATATCTTTTAAAATATGCACATGCAATTTCAGCAAAATACATTTTGATTTGCTAATAGAATGGCTGGATAACATGCATGGTGCCTAACTGCTAACTGTCCGTTTTTTTGTCTCTTGGTAGATCACTGAATCATCAGATTTTTAATTTTTAGCATTTACAGAAAAAATGTTTCCCAGCAATAAATGAAATTTTATTAAATAAAGTTTAAATTTTGAAATTATACACCCCTGTTAATTTTCAGCGTAATTTTTATTAAATTTTATTTCATCTGAATTGTCTTAATCTGCTAAAACATTTGTAGAGCTTCTTATGAAGATTGAATTAGTCTTTTAATAATTTAATATTTGTATATAATTTTGTTTTACATCAATCCACACAAAATGTACATTAATTATTAGTTTTACTTCCATCATATTTAAAAAAATACTTTGGTGAATAAAGGCATTCCTTCCTGGGTCAGAATTTTCTCAGCATAAAAGTCTAAGAAAATTACAAAATGAAATTAGCCAAAGAATATAAAATCTAATAAATTAATAATGTATTTTACATCAGAATAGTATTATAAACTGGTCACTAACCTAAATCATACATTGTTAACGTGGTTTTTGTTTGAAATAGAATTGCTGTAGAGCATGAAAACTTTCTGGTTTTATATGTATCAAGATTAGCACTATAAATATCACAGGATTGATACATATTAAAATTATTTCTTTAAATCAGAAGTGTTAACTAAACAAGAATGTAATTTGAAGTGATTTTTCATAATAGTCACAGCTTTGTATTTTCAGCAAGAAATTGTATAAATTTATGAATACTTTTTTAGGTTGTTTCCTAAATTCTTTGGCATTTTGTATATTTCGGGCAGTTTTTTTAAACATTTTTAGAATGCTGTTAAAGCAAATAATGTATGTAATGCAGATATTAATTATCTATTTCATTTACTTTTAGGGCTGTAAGTGGAATTGCAAATGCAATTACTGTTGAAGAATGGAAAGTTCCAGATAAAATGGTGGGGTTAAGTAAGTATACTTATCTTCTCTCTTGTACATTCATGCTCAGTGTCTGTAGTATAGCTAAGTTGAAATAATAAAATGCTTGGAAATGGAAAATTTTTATTTTGTGCATTAAAGATGCACAAAATAAAAATTTCAGCTGAAATTTGAAGCTCATTAGAACAGTTATGACATGTACATTGTACTTTTCATATCAAAGTGTGGGAAATTGAGATTACTTATTTATACCGTCATAAATATAAAATTCTTAATATCTAATAGTATCATTAATATTATTAAGCTTAATAATTATGTTAAATAAGCTTTTTAAATCGATTTATTTCAGTACTGTTTTCTGATTTTTCATATGCTAAATTAATTTTTAGCTGGGTTTTATTCTCCTCTTTCCCCAAAAAAGGAACTTGCATTTTGAAAAAAGAAAATTAAAATTATTTGTAAATATTATATTCATTAATCTTAAAATGTGAAATGTTTTAGTTATTTAAATTGTATTCTGTGCTTCTTATTAGTGTTTTGAATTTTTTTAATCAAAGCAATGTACCTGAAATTTAATGAATACATAAGAATTTTTTTATTTTTTCCTCCATCTAGTTATTGGTCGAGGGGGTGAACAGATAACAAGATTACAGGCAGAATCAGGTTGTAAAGTACAGATGGCTGCAGATAGTGGTGGTTTACCTGAAAGAATTTGCACTCTTACAGGTTCCAGACAATCTATAGAGTAAATACATTAAACATGCTAATATTTCCTTAAGATGAAGTTCAGCATAATTTTAATGGTGGACTTTTACAGTTAGTCAGTCAGCTGCTGTAACTGCTACAGTAAAATGTTGCTAATTCTAATAACTCTCTCTTCAGTCAATTTCAATATAAAGTTCATATAAAAAAAGGAGTAAATTTTGTAATGAATGTTAAAACAATTATAAATTTTTATTTTGTGCGCACAAATCTAAAAACTGGAGTAGTTAAATTAATACAGTTTTTGCTTAATAATGTATCATTTGTACATTTTGCATTGATAATTTGATGCTATTTTCTAATGAAGAAACTAATGTACAAGAAATGCATTTTTTGTTTAAACACATAACCTGGTTTTAGAAAACAAGCAACCCTAATAAGAAGATAAAATTCAGGGTAAAGGGGAAAAAAGGAGGAGGCATTATGCAAGACTAATTAAATCTCAGAAGTTTATTTTAAATCAGAGATTTCTGTTAAGATTGTTTGAAATACCATTCATTCTTTCTAAAATAGTTTTATCATCCAGCTTGTCCCTGTATTTATTTTTAAAGCATTTAAAGACCTCTAGGAAACAGAATGCCCCTTTGCAAAATTTCCTTCATCTAGACCATGTTAAATCAGATTACTAATGTGGATTGGGTATTGATAGACAATTTCTGACCACTTACTTTATCAAATGAAGTTCCAGCAACTAAGTAAAGTCAAATAACATAATGCAAAAGGTAGACATTTTTTCCCCTCAGCAGGACTGCTAAAATAATATGTTTTAGCTGTTGCATTTATAAGGCAAATAGTATTAGTACCTGTAGTGTAGTGTAGCTGTTGCATTTATAAGGCAAATAGTACGAGGGCCATCCAGGAAGTAGATTACGTTTCCGTCTGTGTCCGCTAGGGGCGGGGCTAGCGCGGCCATCTTGGGGTCAGAGCGTTGCGCAGCTCAGTCTGCATCTAGCCATGCTAGTGAGAGGTTCGTGCTGTGCTCTGTTCAGATACTGTGACGGTTTGAAATGTCTGCGTTAATTGAAAATCCTGCGAGGTGCGCTCAGTAATAAGGTTTCTGACTGCAAAAAACTGTAAACCGATAGAAATCTATCGGCAGCTTCGTGAAGTGTATGGGGACAAACATTATCACTGAAGGTGGAGTGCATCAGTGGGTCATAAGATTTCAAAATGGCCGAACCAATGTTCACGACGAAGATCGAAGTGGGAGACCCAGCATAGTGACCGCCAAACTTCTCGAAAAAGTCGATGCTAAAGTCCGTGAAAATCGAAATTTCACAATAACGGAACTTTCTTTGAGTTTTCCACAAATTTCGTGAAGTTTGTTGCACGAAATCATCAGCGAAAAGCTTGGTTACCACAAGTTTTGTGCAAGATGGAAGGCAAGAAGAGGTAACGAAGTGGTTGAAGGCGCAGGCGGCCGAATTTTTCGACGAAGGAATTTCCAAGCTCGTACATCGCTACGATAAATGCCTTAATTTGTATGGTGACTATGTAGAAAAGTAGTATTTGAGTGTGGCTTTCATCTGTATATAATAAAATTTGTTTCCTATACTTTGTTTATTTTTTTATTCCAAAACATAATCTACTTTCTGGATAGCCCTCGTATTTTTCACTACTTAAGAATATTTTTCATGCTGCTGCAGCAGTAGTGTCAAACTCAAATTGAATGCGAATTAAATGCACAATCTGGAAACCACTGAGGGACCAGAATTTTTTTTTTCCGAAAATTAAAAATTATGTTAACAAAATGCATTATAAATTTTACTTAATATTTTTGAAAATGTGACATAAAGATTAATATCATAATGATAAAAAACTCAAATATCTATTTATTTTCTATCTGAAATCTGCAAGAGATATTTATTGGTTACACTTCGTAATTCAAACAAACTGAAAGGTAAAGATTAAATTCTTTAACATTTTTTTCAAATAATTATAGCATGTTTAATTAATCATTAAATAATTTACATAAATTTAAACTAAAAATAAACAAATTATGAAAATTTTCTATTTTTTTTCAAGAAAACTGGTAAACAAAACGTAGAATAAACAAGAATGACAACTTAATCTCTTTCTCTTATTTTTCTTCAGCATATAAGTAAAATTACATATGTTTGTATGCAAGCTCAATACTTAATGGTAATAGATTCTAATAAAATTTTTAGCCTTAGAGAGAAATTATGTTCATTATGGACTGTAGAGCCACTCATCAATATCTTCCTTTTCTTGTCAATTTTCAACTATGAAAAAAAGCTGTTTGCATATAAATGTATTCCTAAACAAAATTATTATTCGTAGTTTAAAAGTTCGTAACTGAGTTTATTTTTTGACAAGTGCAAATAAAAGTTGATGAAATATGTATCTTGAAATCTTTGAATAAGATTTATAGTACATTATAAATTAATTAACTATATTTATAGATTTTCTGGCAAGCTGTTCACGTTAGTTTTTTGATGGTAACAAATGGTCTCGGTTCACACAGTTATGCACCGCAATGGGCACAAATGAAGTTTCTGTCATTACAAATTTATGATTAACGTATATCACACATATTTGGGAAAAATTGCTTAATCTCACAACCGCCAAAGGGTTAATGAAACTGAAAATAATATAAACTTGATCTTCAAACAACTAAAATCTTAAAAATCTTTGTAACACCATATTTGCAACAACTATGTAATTGAAATATCTTGGTTGGCTGCATAAAATTGCTTTGCTTCATGGACTGCCAGTTTGACACCCCTGTATTACAGCATGCACATGATGTCCCATTTCACTGTGTAGCACCAAAAATTTCAAATCCCTTTTTGTGACTTTGCATTGCTGCCAGACCTAGAATTGATTTATAAGTCACACTAAATGAATGTGCATTATATGAGGGTTGCTTGTAATGATTAATATTCTTCTGTACTTTCAGTAATTAATTTTTATGTTACTTTTCTTTAAACATAACATTTTATTTTAACTATAAATTAATGTTTTAAAATGAAATATTTAATTTGATGTTTAGATTTTAAAAATATATTATTTCAGAAAAGCTAAAGAACTTATAACAGCAATAATAAATCGTGGAGGTCCTCCTTTACCTGTTTTAGACACTAATCATGTACCAGATGGCCATACGATAGTTGAAATGATGATCCCTGGTCCTAAAGTTGGTCTTGTCATTGGAAAGGGTGGAGAAACTATTCGTAATCTTCAGGTATGATTTGTGTTATGATTAATCATATACATGTTTGAGAATTTAGTACTATGAAATGAATGCATGTGTGCATATAGGTATAAAAATCAATACATTACTTCTTGAGCCCTGCAGCGATTTCAAGCTTTCTGTATATTGATGAACGCTATGCCAGTATTATTCCAAAGTAATCATTTTAACTATACGGTTTTCTGTTTAACTATATGGTTTACTCTTTTTATAACATAATTTGCATGTAGTGTTGTAATTTTTATTACATGCTGAGATAAAAATTAATTCTACGATACTTTGTTAATCCTAAAATTTAGTGTAAATTGTAAATGCTAAAAGTGCTAAGTAAAAATCTAACAAATTGCAGTCTGTGTAAATATTCTAAAGAAGAACATTTTTAAAATTTGACAGATACTGTTTTCACATTCATTCCTAAGGAATTTTCCTGTTAGAATTTTTATCTCCTACAAAATTGGAAATTTCTTTCTAAAATATTTTATTTGTGATAAGAAGATCTTCATATTTTGATGTTCTTGATGTTCTACTTTAATTAGTATTTAGATCTGTCATAATACAAACTTTCAGTGGTTTGTTAAAATTTGCTATATTTGTTTTAAATTAAACTGGACGGATTTCCATTATCTGCACTTATTATAGTTTGAATTAAGATTATCGATGGTTTTAAAAATATTTAAACACCGTCATATAATATTAAGCATGCTGTTGAAATAAAAGTAAATGTCAGTATAGTAATAATAAAATTAAATTGTAAATAAGTATATTGATCCTCTCATAATTGAGAATGTGTTTTCATCGGAATCTAACCATTATGAAGGCGACATTACAGAAAAGTCGTAAAATACTCCTTTTTTAGGCAGAATGCAATAGCTTTGTTGTCATTTGATGATAAATTGAAAATTGCCTTCATTTTAAATCTGAAAGAAACAGTTTTTACTAACAAAACAAAAAAATTAGGATTCTAATTATGGATTTAAGTCTGTTATATCATATGGTGGAATAAATCGCACCGGTAGTTTTTAAAAAATTAGCTCTCCAAATTAACCTCTTTGTTAATTGAATTTGATATATATTTATTAATATCTTTTTTATTAAACTTACTTGATTCCTTCGATACAACTCTGATATACGCCCTAATTTCCCAAATGTGGCGATATGTGTTCTGCGATGGTTTTTGGTGTGACTGCGTGTTGTATGGCAACCCTGTTGACGTTGAAAAAGTCTTTCCCCGGAGCTCGTTGGTTCGCGTCTGTGTCTGAGAAGATAGGGGGAAAGAAAAAATGGTGGATGTTGTTGAATTGAAGTTCGGCAAAAGGAAATATTATTTTGGCCATCCTGGACGCCTATTGTATGTTACTGGATCTGTCTACAACTTAAGCGAACAATATTGACTCAAAAAAAAAAAAACGGTATGGACAACCCATCACAACTTATCGGAGAAAGCCATTCTGTGGTCCTCAGTTGGTGGGCGGGTGGGTCCATTTGACTTTACTGAAAGGGGACAAGGCTTCAAGGAGCTTTAGACCAATCGCAGTACAGAGGAGTGACGAAATTTATAGCGCGGCTAGCTGAAGTTCTAGGAATATTCTCCCATTATTTCACTAACTCTCGCGCTGTATTTGTAATTCGAAAAAAATTGCTCAAAACAGTATTATGACCAACACGTAGCATATTCTAACAACAGCATATTCTGCTGCTGTGTTATGTAAAGGAAAATCCCGTTTTTTAAGGGGAAAGTTAACGCAGGAATTTAGAGCTAAGAAATAAAGAGTGATATGGGATACCACGAAAGCAATGGTAAATAGATAAGAGTAGATGAATTAAGCTTACTTCAAATCCTCTTAGAAATAAACAATTTTAATCATTTAAATTTATAATATGATCAATTTGCATTACAATCTAATAGCAAACAAAGTTTTTTTTTTTCTATGCTTACATTAAAACTGTTTCCCGCAATTTATTTTACAGTTACTATTGGAAAAATATTTCTTTAAATAAGAAATTAGAAAGAAATTTTTTATTTTCTTTTTCTATGAGAATTATTTTTTTTCAGGAAAAGAAATAAAATTCATTCACTATGGCCGATTGCTGCTGCATTCAACTGTCACACACGCATCAAAATGCTTTATTTTTAATAATTTATTCTATAATTAACATGAAAGAAAATATTTTTTCAATATAAAATATATAACCAAAATTAAACTAATCTATCCTGTATGTGTGATTAATTCGTTTTGCAATTTTTGTCACACAATTAAAAATACCTTTTTTTAATATTAAATTGCTGTTATTTTAAATTTTAATTTTTTACATATATAAGAACTGCTTGCTCAGTTTCAATATTCTTCCTTCTCAAAAGATTTTATTCTGTGAAAATAATTAAAAGATAGTAATATTTTCACAATGCAAGTACTAAAGTAAAAATAATCAGTGTAGGTCTCCTGCAGTTGAAGTCCTTGTCAAACCAGCGTATCGATGCATTTTAAATAGAAAACTAATAATAATCAATATCTCTTTTACAATATAAAAATGAGAATGCTATGAACAGTAATTTTTTTTTTTTTTTTTTTTTTTTTTTTTTTTTTTTTTTAAGTTTTCAAAGAAACAATTATTTTTGAATACTATAATAGGTTACAAAAGTACTATTCCATGAACAAAACCCCTCACTCTTATAGCATTATTACTTTATAGCATAATACAATAATAATGCAGTATAATTCTGCTAACAAGCCCACCAGCCGCCGAGCGGTAGAGTCGCAGAACGCAGGTAGTTTGGTCCGAAGTTCGAATCCTGCGAACGAGCTGGCCGGCGTTTTCGTGGCTTTCCCCATGTGTAACATGTATACGAGCCAGTTTCCCTTAGAAAGTCCTCACTTAGTAACCAGTTTTAAAACATAATAAAATTACACACACACACACACACACAAAAAAAAAAAAAAAAAAAACTTCAGATTTTATATTACTCCCAAAGGGCCGTTTTTTAACTTTTTGCGTGTTACCTTTATTAAATATCATGTTTTTCGCACTTAAACCATAAAATTCAGTTCAACAGCAATGTCATAAAATTTAGAAAAAGCATATCTTTAGAATTTCCGATACATAGTTTCGCGCGCTAGAGATGAAAATGCATCCCCCCCCGTACAATGTTGGCTTCGCTCGCTTTGAAATTGTTGGGTTTCTTAATCAAAAACTCATAAATGCTTTACAAAATATGAAATAGATAATAAAACAAATTCGCAGCTCCAAATTTGGGCCTCCAGATGCCTATATTAGGATGGAGGATTATGTTATTCAGAATTTCATGGCTCTAGGTACCGTTACTTTATCACAATGCGAGAAACATTCATACATTCTGCAGATTCCTCATTATTTAATTTCTTTAAATATAATAGAGTGCGATAATACTTGGTGGCAACGATTTGAAAAGTGAAATGCCACAAAATGGCAAAACGAAATTAATAGGCCCTCTGGGCTAAAACGTATTATTAAAAGTATCACACTAGTAGTAGTACAGCTACTGGAAAAAATATTGTAAATCTATTTCATAGTTTTATAAATTTATTTTTATTTTACAGTAGTGTGAATTTCGCATAATAATGAACGACATTCCTTTTTGTGTTCACAGTATTATTCGTAAGGTATTCAACTGTTAGATTTTAAAGTAAACGTAATTCTTGCTGTACATAAATCGAGTAGAAGCTTATCGGATGTCTATATTTGTATTAAATGAAGTAGGTTTATGTGCTTGATAAACTTATTATCTTCTACATTTTTAAAGCATACAATTACAATTTATATCTGTAATTTAAGGAATAGAATTTCAGGAATTCACCTTTCTTTCAGTAGAAATTGCGTTCTTGTTTTCTGAATGTGGCTGCAAATACTTTCTCAGTTCATCGCAAATTAAAATAACTATAAATTTTGACCTGAATACGCAATGAAAACATCTTTTGGCATAGCAAAAGCATCAACATATTTCTATAAATTCGCCACCGATTCAGAGATCTACGACCATATTCTTCGTTTAAATATGAAAAAATCAGCGGCGAAAACACATACAAAGCCATTGTCTACTTAGTACGTCAACTGCACAATCCTGATTGACGACGCATCAACACTTTTTCACGCGCTTTCGAGAACTTCCGTACTCAGAGAATATAGGATGTCGGGCAGACCTGTTTTTTACTAGCAGCGACATCTGGTGGCCCACAACTTGCTGTCGACTCTCGTAGCGTAGAATAACCGTCCTGTGAGGCGCAGTAGGTGTTTGGAGGAGTGGAAAGAGGATCTGGAAGATTATTTTTAGTGGCTGTGCATGATAGAAGTAGGGATTTGTGATTATCTGTGATTTTATTTATTTGTGAACCATAGTATGAATTTTTTGGATAGCGTGTCTGGCTGTCATATAAATACGATAGTGATTACGTGGCGGCATGTTAAAGGCGGTATAAAATTGGTATTTCTGCTGCTCGAAAAAGCATTAATTCATGCTAACTGCATTTTATTTTATTCTTGTTCTAATTTTGTAGAATGTTATGTTCATTGCTTTTTTAGTAAGAATTTCTGTCGTTATTGTTTTTTTTTTAATTGTTTGAAATTTATTCTAGTTTATTTTGTTGATTAGTGCGTAGTGTCTAGATTCTGCAATTCGTAGATGTTTTTTAAAGTTTAAACAGAAAGCTGTGTACATGGTATTCTTTGAAATTTATTGTTATGTTAATTTATTAAAGCGAGGTGTGAGTGGTTCGTAGATTCTTTCGTTGCCTAAATTGTGCGATTCGTTGATTTTTTTTTTTTTTTAAAGTTTAAACAAGATGCTGTGTGCATGGTATTCTTTGAAATTCATTATGTTAATTTTATTAAAGCGAGGTGTGCGTAGTTCGTAGATCCGTTCGTTGCCTAGATTGTGCCATTCGTAAATGTGTTTTTAAGTTAAAACATATCTCTGTGTACTTAGATTCTTGTCAAATATTTTTGGTTAGAAACTTTACGTTTTTGCTATCTAAATTTTTTTTTTTTTTTTTTTTTTTTTGGATTTTTAGCTTATTGTGTGTTCAAAACGTGGTTTTTGCTTGTGCGAAATCCGCGTTTTTGGAGACATTTCAGGCTTAAAGTTCAAAATGTAGACAAAAAATTTAGATAGTAATATGAAAACGTGGAGTTTCTCGCCAAAAATGTTTGGCGAGAAATCTGGCAACTTGAAGGTGCATATCAGAATAGTTCCATTCCTTCTTCCAGAATTTGAAATTTAGGTTCATTCCAAATAAAATTCACCAATTTGTAATTATCTATTTTTAAACTTTGTATTTTTAAGTAATTTTTATAAATTTTTCGAAAAACGTTTTAAATTATATCCTATAACAGTTTTGCCTCCATTTCAAAGTAGATGCATTTTTAAGCATACCTGCAAAAAATTAGAGTTTTGTATTCAAAATTTCCTAGGATGTACATGAATTTACATAATGGCGCCTTTTGAAAATTTGGCATATTTATTATGAGCAATAATAACAGCAAACGTGCTTTACACACTTTGTTAAAATTGTTTTAAAATAATGAACAATGACCTTTTTTTGCTCATTTACAATGAAAAATAGGTTGCTATAAGCTAAGAAGTTTGCCAATGAATTATTCGGCACAAACTGAAAAAATGCATGAAAATAAAATTTAATTTGAGTCATAGAATCAAAATATGGAAAAAAATTGGCATGTCAATTCAGAAAAAGTTTGATTTTATGTCAGCATACCTATATTAGAACAATGCTATATATAAATCTAATATATATCCTATCGCTTTCGAGACATGAAAAATGCAATTTGAATTTCGTCAATGCCCAGTAGAATGATGATATAGAACACCCCCCTTTTTTTTGCACAGTGTAAATTTAAGTTTTGCATTTTCAACATTGGGTAAAGTTTAAAATTCCCTTACATTATTTTCAACTTAGTCTCCTCTTTTTTTTTTTTTTTTTTTTTTAATATCGCATTTTTTATGAGAGAAATGTATAGAACAGTTCTTATACTTTACATTAATTTATGGTGTGTAATGTCATGTACAAAATTGGTAGCATTTATAATACCTTGCTATGCATAATTATCAATTAATAATGCAATAACCAGCCTAATAACATTCATTTATATATATATACTTCTGTATCTCATGGAATGTATTATTGATGGATACAAGGCCATCCTATCCTCATACATATATATAAATTATAATCAAGTTAGAGCAAGAATTTTTTTCATTATTTTAACTGTAGGTTCTGTGAAATTTTGATAAAATACATTTGCACTATTCAAATAGGTTGAACATTTGAAAATCAAATTATCTTACATTTTTCATTAATTATGTATATTGTATTTTTATATGCATTTTGAATTAGATATGTGAATGATTTATCCCTCAATAGTAGATATATTTGTGATTATAATTTGTGATATATTTGTGTAATGTGTTAATATAAAAGTTATTTGCATGGTTATTAGGAAAGAGCTGCTGTAAAAATGGTTCTTATACAAGATGGTCCTCAGCAAACATCACAAGAAAAACCACTGAGGATAACTGGAGAACCTGATAAATGTGAAGTAAGATATATGTTCTTAAAAATTCAGTATTTAGAATTCTCCATTTACATTCATTCTGTTTTGACTATATTTTTTTAAAATAAAATTTAAATATTTGAGAAATTGGGGCAGAATATTTTAGCCAAAATTTCAGATCCCCCCTCCTTTTTCTTTTTTTCCCTGGAGGGTTTTAATTTTTATTGCATAAGAGCGGGTATATCTTGAGGAAAGCTTATGCCTGTGTTCTGTTTTTTAAAAAATAATTAAATAATGAACTTGCTAACAATAGGGGGGAGAAACCAGTTTGCTGTTCACAAGCGATTTGTTTTCTTTTGTTTATTTAGATATAAAACATTATAAAAATATTTTTGTCTTCATTTGAATTTCATAGTTAAAAGCAACTATTAAATGTTTATTGCAACTTGACATTAAAATATATTTGAATTAGAATTTATGCCATTGAGAATTAATAATATTTAAATTTTATTGTTTATGTTTTGATCATTGGATGAGGAGAATGTACTATTTAGTGTTATTATTGCCTTCATCTCAAAGTAAAATTGTTAATTTGTACCATTTTGCATTATGTAAAGTGCATGCAACATCATCATACTGAATGTAAATGCCAGGAAATTATGGAAATACTTTTGTTTCTGTTCGGGACCCTAACTGTTAAGTTCTGTGAGGTGTCCAAAAGATCCCAGGTTAAAAATTGTAAATGAAATATTGAATAAAGGAAAACTTATGCTCACATTATAAATCCAATTAAGACATAAAATGAAAATAATTCAGGTAATCCAAGAAGGAATAATATTTCAGCTTATTGGTAGGATTTCAATGCATTTAAGTGCATTTGAGGACTATGTAATACTATTAAAGAATTACAAGAGAGATCAGAAAACATTTGTAAAGTACCAATAGTTAGGGAAACTTAATTTTTTATTGATTAAATTAAAGATGCCTCTGATTCATTTTATTGAACATATTGAAGATCTATATAAATAATCATTGGATAACAAATTTTTTTGCTAGTCTGAAATACTTTTGTACTTCTCTTTCTTTAGCATTTGTTATTATTCGTGTTACTTTTGGTACACTGTTTAGTGTATGATCAAAGCTTTCAGTGCATTTATATTGAGAAAGGCAGGGAGTGGTATATACCAGTATCATTAATTATTACATACCATTATTATTATTATTATTATTATATAGGATTAGTACATACCTGTTAACTGCAATGGCAATTTTGGGTGTTCTTTTGTGCAATGTGAAAAAGGAAATGAAGGAGTTTCTAAAAAAACACTTCCTCTTGTTGCACAAATGAGTCAGTTTCTTTTTGGAACTCCTGAACCCACAGGTATTTTCCTCTTGTTGGGCAAATGGCCCTTTGGCACAATTGATTAAATCAATCTATGATTAAAATTTGCTAGTGGATTTTTTTGCATGAGGCGTGCAGTTACTTGAATGTTACTTTGGAGAGCCTCTAGTTTGGATGAGGTGGATTTATTGCTTAGACACCACAGCTGCAAGATTTGTCATGTCTAGATTTCTTTTTGTGGAGATATCTATATAGCAGAATACATGAATTTCTCAGTGGCTGTCCTGAGTAACTCATTGTAACATTATATTTTCTGATACTACTGCATAGGAAATGCTGGGTATAACAAATGTGTTGATACTATGAAGTTTTTATTGTTAATTGAGTCAAATAAAATTTTTCATCTTCTGCATCTCCTTGCTCCAGTATTGATTATGTTTTGCTGAATTCACCTGAAAATTTGACCGATAATTATAGAAACTTCCTGGATTTGTGGTTTTTAAATTAAATCTGTTTTAACAATTATGATAATATTAGAGATTGATTAGATAATTATTATTTTGTGAGATCTAGTGTTATGATAAGTTGAGTAAAAAATTTTATAACTAAAAATTAATTTATCAAAATAATGTGTCAAAAATGTTATTGATTTCTTTTTTTTTTTTCTCTCTTTTTTTTTTTAAGTATGCAAAACAGTTGGTCATGGATCTGATCACAGAAAAGGAACTTGAAGTAAGTTCATTATGCATAGTGATTTATTATTATTATTATTAAAATGTCTATTCACAAAAAGAAGAACGATCTGACTGTACAAAATTATGAATGTATTGAAAAAATTGAATAATATTAATTTTTAGAGTATACAAAGAGGGGGATTTGATGGAACTAATGAATACGGAAGTGCTGCAGGTGGTCAGAGAGGTGGATCTGGCTCAACACATGAGGTAAAATTTGTTGTGTGAATTTTTATTATTGCATTAAAACATTCTGCTGATGGGTAATATATGCATTCCTTTATATTTTTTGTTTTGCATAGTAATGCCATTGTGTTAAATTTTTAAACATGGGCTATTTTTTATTGTGGCATTGAAAAATATATAAAATCTAATTTATAAAACTGTTTTACAAATATCGGATATATGGCATGAAGTGTATTGATGTGGATACTAAAATATGAAATTGGATTCCTAAATATACAGACTTCCTGAAACTTTTTTAGAATGTTTCTCTTATTAGGGGAAACAATTTCCCCCTTAGCTGAGAATAATGATTATTGTTTAAAATGTGCAAAAACAGAGTTTTTAATAGAAGTTTTATTTAAAAATGTAAATTATAATAATAAAAAAAGAGGTAAACTTTTAGAAAAATGTTCAGATGTTTTTGTTAATAAAATTCATAAAATGGTTCTAATTTAGATATTTTTGCAGTTTCTTATGATGCATGACTGAAAATTTTTCATTTAAAAATTTCTGATTGTTTCAAAAGATTTTGTGATTCAAATTGATATTCTAGATTTAAATATTTTGTGTAGCAATATCTGTGCTCATTATTATTATTATTTTTCCCTTTTAACAGATAATGGTTCCTAAGCAAGCAGTTGGTGTAGTAATTGGTAAAGGTGGTGATATGATAAAGAAAATACAGCAAGATTCTGGAGCTAGAGTTCAGTTTTTAAATGTGAAAGACGAAGGTCCAGATGATAAAGTGTGTGTTGTCACCGGAACTCCGGAGCAAATACAAGCGGCCAGCACTTTCATAAATGATCTCATCCAAAGTGTACTGGTGAATATGTATATTTTTTGAATTGTTTGGTTTTCTTTCGCATGTCAATGACTTTCCCCAAAATAAGTTAACCGGTATAAAAGTCTAATATTTTTATCATAATAATACGATAGCAGACATCGACACTTTTCAAATATTTTTCTTTAAAATGAAACAAAGCAAAATGTATTAAAAAAATTTTTAATTTATTTGCATAAAATGTAACCCAATTCAAGATAAATGTTAGGAAATAATAGTATCAAATTTGCTTCAGAAATTTCAAGTAGATTGAATAATTTAAAACATAATAATAAAATCATAAAATTAAGGTATGCAACTTTGTAGTGGGCTAGCATTTTTTAAACTTTTTAATTGTGAATGGGTTTTTATAAATATTATTTAATAAAAAGTAAGTGTAAAATTGGCATAATATTTCTAAGTAAGTGTAAAATTGGCATAATATTTCTAATATACAGATTTTGTGTTGGGAGGAAATTCATTTTCACCATTAAAATTGAATATATCTCATTCAGTCTGTTTGCTTATTAGAGCAATAATGTTTTGTGAATAAATTATGTAGTATAGAAGTTTTTAAATACCTACTTTTTAATACGAGTCTTTTAAACCTACAGAACACATTTTCATATATACATTAAAATTTAATGAACAATAATAGTATCTTACATTGAATTCATGCAACTGCCTGAATAAATAAAGTTGATAATCTGTTTTATAATTTTTGTGTAACTGCTTGCTTATCATTTTGTAATGGAATATAAGCAGTGTCCAACCAGTTTTGCCTTAAGGAGTACTTTTAAATTTCTATGTGCTTTGCAGGCACCTACTGTGTTATGTTTGGACAATAACAGTATCACAAAAATATAATATTTTGTGTTTCCAAATAATTAAGAAAATTCATACGAACCTACAAAAAATGATGAAAATTTCTAATAAAACGTAAATCTAGTGTAGGTTCAAACTTAATTTTATTTCAAATTAGATAATAAAAGGAAGTGCATATAAATAAATTAATTACTAACACAAGAAAATGTAATTATTAAATTGTTAAATATTTTATAAAGTCAGTACTGCATTAAGTCATTAACTTGCTAGTCCCACCAGTGGCTGAAACCACCGTGTTGCTTAACACTAATTGTTCGATCAGAGGTTCGAATCCTTCAAACAGGTTGGCTGCATGGGTGCTTTCTTGTTTTCCCTATGTGTAATGTGTATACGAGCGAGTGTCCCTTCGAAAGTCCTTCACGAAGGCATCCCTCCCTTTAGGCAGGTAGCCCTCAAGGCTTTGCCATAATCGCATAAACCATTAAATTGCTATTTATAAGATATTCAGTTATTAATGTTCTCTAACAATTTATTGAAACACATGCTCTGAAGGGAATAGAGTTTTGGACTTTTTATTATTGTAAGTTGTGACGAAACCTGCTCGCAGTGGTAAGGTGCCCCATAAAAATAGGGTGTATTTAATTTTCTGTGCTTTTGAGTGTTAGATCAGTAAAAGAGTAATAATCTAATTCGATTCTTAAAAACATTTTTTTTGAAGTCACTTCTGTTATGTCCAATTCCAAGAAAGTATTTTTTGTGAACAATAAAATGTGCTGCATAAAAAGTTTGTGCTAGAATCTTCTTTTAAATTTTGAGTAACGGAAGGTTTTGAACGTACTTAGATGACTCGTACTCCGGAATGAGGGTAAATGGAGAAATATGTTGATAGTCTTTCTCCGCTAGAAAAACAGATATTGAACTCATCATTTCTGGTACCAGTTTTCCTTTTCCTTGTAATGTGGTACTTAGGTTGTTGAGTTTTACCATATTGGTTAAAAATACTAAGTCAACAAGTCACTCCATGTCATCCAATTTTTGGTCAGTTATCTTGAGATATGAGAAAAGTTTTTATCTCCAGCATTCCAACAAATCTTGTTAAAACTTTACGTCAACTCAGCCACCTTATGTCTGCATAGTAGTTTATATCACCATACTTATATATTGCTATATTTCTGTCTCTTTAAGCAAAGCTTTAAAAAGTTCATGATTCAAAGACCTTTGTCTTCAGATAACATGTATAGTGCATACAATAATATTCGTTACCTGATCGAGCTTGAGCTTTTATCATCCAGATTTTCATGATGAATAACACAATGGTATGAATAAAATTTGGAAAATATATCCCGCTTACAGAGCCCAATAAGCCCAGTATTCCTGATCATAGCTAGTGCATTATTAGTTATGATTGTGAAGAGAATTTTTATTGGTACATTCTTTTGTTCTGTATGTTTTGCTCTTGACTGTTGTTTTGTCAGAGTTAACATGGTCAACAATGCTTCTTTTAACAGAAAGTCAGGAAGCATCATTCTCATGAACATCAGAAGTTGCAGTTAATCACATCAGTCAATTCAACAAACTGCTTAGGAAAATATGCACATTTTTTCCTAATCAGATCTCATTTTTGTGTAGATACTGTTTGCCATATCATCCACATGTTATGTTATCTCATTTCACGAGAGAGGCAAATCTTTTATAGCTGTGATTATCTCATTTTTGTTTTTAAATTTGTGAAATGAAGACTTTGGCATTGCCAGCATAGCTTTCTCCACAATAACCTCATTTTAATATGCCTTCTTATGTGATGCAAGAATGTAGCTTTGAAGGAGGCTTTTGCGTGATTCTTTACATCATTTTTCAAGGCAGAAAGATTGCTTTATTGAGCTTTTAGAAATGATTTCAATGATTGAATTTGGGTGGATATTTATAATTGAAATCTGTGTGACATTCAAATGTATGACATCTGGTTTTGTGATGACATTCAACATTTGAGTGCATTGATACTGTTACTAAAGCAGTGCAAAATGAATGCTTTTTTTTTTTCGCTTGCATTTGTAAGTAACTTTTCTTCCTGTTTGTGGTTGAAGTGGTAAGTTTTCTTTTTGCTAGCCTTGGCTCGTCACTTATGTCAAGAAGCACACCTCAGATTCTACGAAATCATTAAAAATGTTGTTTTAAAGCTCATCAGAAACAGTGCAGTTTGGTATCTGCTACTGAAAAATTTTATCAGCTGTATTGGAGGATGCATCGTATGTGCAAACGTGCAGTGGCACAAGCAGGCTTATGTTAATGCAGACACTCTAATGCTAATCTTCTGTGGAGATGGAACTGAAGAAACAGAACAGAGTGAATGTGATAATACTTCAGTAGAATACAAATGCAGAGTCTTTGTTTATGATGTGTAAATTTTTTTCTTAACATTAAGATTAGTTTTCTTCTTATGTCAATATTGTGAGTTGCTCGCGGGCACATAAAGATAGGCTTGCAGCCTGCCAAGCACCCATGAGCCAATGGTTGAACACCACTGATCTAGAATGCTGCCATTGGGATGTACATATTTTGAGAGATAAAGGTATAAGGCAGCCCAATAAAATTTCAAAATAAGGGAAAATATCCTTTCTGATTTTGAACTGGGATTAAATAAATAAGGTAGCAGTTTTTTAAAGTTTCTAGAAGTTCAGTATAAACATTAACATATTAAGAGTTCCAGTACAAAATGACATTGAAAAATACTAATATACTTTAATACAAATATTTTTTTAATAATATAAATAACTTATATATCTAGCCGTTAAAATTCTGTCTTTTGCAGTAGACAAGAAAAAACTTTACAATTTACATTTCCTTTATTTATTAAAATTGTTTATAAATATAATATTTTTACATAAATTAAGTATTTCTTATTTTATATTTGTATTATGTACAGTATTATGTATTTTGGACTACTATTTGTATTATGTATTTTTTTTTGTTTGAATAATATTTGCATATGAATATATGTGCAGCTTTTAATCAAGAATTGTTATTGAATAACTGAAAGTTTTTTACAGGAATCTTAACTGTTAAGTTCATTTAATATATTTTTTGTCGGCTTTTTAATTCTGGATGCAGTCGAACCAAGCTTATAAGAAACTAATTTTTGGGTTCTGCCTAATTTCCTTTGATATTATCTTACGAGGGTAAGTTGAAAAATAAGTTTCCCCTGTCGACTGTGGTCAGAGTTGTGTATGAAAGTAAAAATTTAGAATGAGACATTAAAGATATGACATACCTTTATTTTTCCACATAGGTACCAAGTACATTGAGACATTTGTCATATCGCTTGATAAGCTTCAAAAAGCCCTCCAGGAAAAAATCAGGGCTTTGCATATGGAAGAAGCGTTGAACGGCTTGTTTCACTTCAGTATTGCTTCCAAAGCGCCTTCCCCCAAGATTTTTCTTCAAAGCCGGAAACAGATGGAAGTCGCTTGGTGCGAGATCAGGACTGTATGGCGGATGGTGTAGGCGCTCCCAACCAAGAATTGCAATATGGTTTTGCATTGCCGTCGCCGAATGTGGTCTGACATTGTCATGCAACAGCAGAACGCCAGATGGGAGAAGGCCAGGCCGCTTTTTCCGAATCGCCTCTTTCAATTTCGACAGGGTGTCACAGTAGCGCATAGCATTGATGGTTCCAACCTCCAAAAAGTCAAGCAACAAAACTCCTTTGGCATCCCAGAAAACTGTGAGGAGCACTTTACCTGCAGAGGGAGTTGTCTTGAACTTCTTTCGGACAGGTGATGACGGATGTTTCCACTCCATAGATGCGGCCTTCGATTCTGGCGTGAAATGGTGGACCCACGTTTCATCCCCCGTCACAATCCGAAACAGAAAGTCATTGCCATCTTCATGGTAACGCACGAGATGTTCCAGGCTGACCCCCATGCGTTGTTCCTTGTGTGTCGAGGTCAATTGTCGGGGCACCCATTGTGCTGACACTTTTCTGTATCGAAGAATGTCGTGGATGATGTTTAGAGCTCGCTCATGTGAGATTCCAAGTTCTTCCGCTACCTCATCGATGGTGATACGCCGGTTCGCTCTAATCATGTGATCCACCTTCCTGAGATTTGCATCTGTAGTGGCCGTGCGCGTCTGTCCAGCTCTCGGTATGTCCTCCACTTGCTGACATCCATCACTGAATGTGCGACACCATCTCCGCACCATTTGCTTCGACATCACACCTGGCCCATAGACTTCCACGAGGCGGTTATGAATTTCTGTTCCTGATACTCCACGTGCCCATTCATAGCGGATAACTGCTCTCACTTCCTCCTTTGACCACGAATTCAAAATGCACCTTCTCTCCATACCTACCGGGGCTCAAATGAGAGGCTGGTCTCCGCTTTGCGCAGGCACTGCAACAGCGCCATCTGCTTGATTTGCAGCAACCTTTACCCAATGGTGTATCGGTGACTTGCGCGTTTTCCTGCTGTGTCGCCTTTCGCCCATAGCCGTTCAACGCTTCTTCCATATGCAAAGCGTGAATTTTTCTTGGAGAACTTTTTGAAGCTTATCAAGCGATAACGTACTCGTACGAGAATAATAAAATAAAGGTATGTCATATCTTTAATGTTTCATTCTATTTTCTTGACTTTCATACACAACTCTGACCACAGTCGACAGGGGAAACTTTTTTTTCAACTTACCTACGTATATGAGTATAGTTAATTTCAAAGTGTATAAAAATCAAAATCTCTGCAATTATTACGGGATTGAAATTTTTTCCCGTAATTTCTGCAGCTGTCAGCTGAAAAATTACTGGTAAAACCATTAAATTCATCCTGTTTAGGGTATTGGTATAATTAAAAAACATCTTCAGGTTACTGTTCTTGTCTTCACCCACCCTCTTTGTGTTCTGAACAAAAGGCTGAGCAAGGCAGTTGTAACACTCATTCCTTGAAAACCACAATGAATAAGAAAATGTCTTAGGAGATCCTCCTAGGTCCACCGATTCATTGAGACGGTTCTTTGGTTTCATTTGAATTCATTCAATTGTTTATTAATAGTTGTTAGCATGTATTTTAGGTGGAAACATGTGGCTGAGGGGATGGATTTAAGCCATGACCTTTTGCTAACTAATTTTTTGTGTAAAATTATCAACATGTGACGAAACTGAAAACAACAAAAAAGAAATTTAGTTAATTGTATGTAATACAGAATTTAAATATTTAGTACCAGAAGTTAATACTCTCAATGATTTAATGCCCGAGATCCGTAGTAGAGTTACAGATGCTAACTGATGCTTTTTTGGTCTCAAAAAATGCTTGAAGTCTAACTTCATTACCAGAAAAATGAAAATTTTAATTTACAAAAGCTTAATCAGACCCATTCTTACATACTCTGCTGAGATCTGGGCAATGACAGAAAATGCTAAAAGTATCTTTTCTGTCTTTGAAAGGAAAATTTTGAGAGGTTTTTTGGTGGCATAAAATGTAACAGTATCCGGAGAAGAACTAACTCTGAACTCTATAAATCGCTTAAAGAAATAGATATAATAAAATATATAAGGATTCAGGGAATTAAATGGGCAAGACACCTGTGCAGAATGGATGAAAATCGAGTAACTAAAAAAACTTCAGCCAAACCATTTGGCACCCGAAAAAGAGGGAGACCTAAACTTAGGTGGCTCGACTGTTTGGAAATAGACTTAAGAATTTTAAAAATAACCAATTGGATGTCTTGGAATTTGAATCTGAGGAAGGCAAGGGCGTTGTTAGGGCATTGAAGAAGAAGATGTAATACAAGGCTTGTAGAGTCCTCTTAAAAGTCCTTATTTATTTTGTAAGCAATTTTTGGTTCTTAAAAGTCCTTAAAAAAACCTGCGAAAGGTCCTTAATTTTACTGATATGACATTTCTGTCTGTTTTTTATGACAGCTGTTTTGAGTGTGAATTAACATTTTGGAGGAATATTTCTGACAATGCATTGAAAAATATGTGTTTTATGGCTTAATATTTAAATTCTGTCCTACTTCTTAATACAAACTGTGGATACTCTAGTCCTAGATACACAGCCCTGCTTCGATTGAAACATAAACATTTTGAAAGTAATTGTTTTTTTGCGAATAAAGAATTCATAAAACATTACATCAAAAACAAATTGTTCCGTTTTTAGATACGAGGTCTTATTAAGCGGTGCTAAATTTGCTGACTTTATCAACATTTTGGTGATTTCAAAACCGGTTTGTGTACAAAATTTTTTACATGGTGATGTTTTTTTCACACGTATAACAACATTGTTTAATATCTTAAATTATATTTAAGAAATAACATGAAAATAAAGCAATTTTATTGTCTCTTGCCATATTTTAAAGTGACATTACTTTCCATTTGGTGACTGAACTATTTTGATTTTTTTGGGGGAAAAAAGAAGTAAGATAATAAAAATGCTACTAAGCACAGTTTCCAAAGCACTTCCTAGAAAAGACAAAAGTACTGTAAATAATCAAAAATGAATTTCTTTTGTCTTTTTTTTAAAAATAATTTTTCATGTGATGAGATTTTTCCCCCGTGTTTCACAAAAAAAGATTTTCCCAAATGAGACAGACACCTCTTGCATTCCTTGTATTGATCAATTAACCAACTAACCTTGATTACTATGCTGGAATTACTTGAAAGGCATACTGCAAAATTTGTATATGTACTTGATATTTTCAATAGTCTGCTTTACTAGCCAGTTACCCCTTTTATGAAATATTATATCAAAAAGAGCATAAGAATTCAGAATATTTAAAATGTGTATCAGTTTTCTCTTGAAGATTCACTTTGCCCTTCTCTTTTCTTTATCCCCCCTCTCCCCCCAAAATCTTTTGGCTTTTTGCTCTTGCAGAATTGGTAGGGATAGTTTTTCTTTTCGATTTTAGATCTTGCTTCTCAGAAAGTGTAAAGGTAGGATTTATTGATTATTATTTTGAAAAACCTACAAATTCCAGAAAAATGTGGCCATATGAAAAGTGTCCTTATGGTTATTAACACATGACAAATGTGTTTTGTAGGAAATTTGTGATGAATTACTTATCTTGTGAAGAATTTTTTGAAGAACAGAAGAAAGGAAATTATTTGAATTATTTCCTTTGATTCCAGAAATGTTTCTTACCTTTATTTTCTTATTTTCCCACTAGACGCAAGCATCAAAGAAAACAAAGAGATTGAAAGCCAACTGTGAATTACGATTCATGATGCATGTCTCAGTAGACTGTGTCATACCTGAGTGCCTGCACTACATTTTGTTGCTCGGTGATAACTAAATTCTAAAAATTCTGCCACAGTGGCTCTGGCGCTGGTCTTGTATAAGGCTCATATTAATGTTACGCTTAGACAAAACTGAAAACCGTCAATGCAGCCAGCCCATTCACTTGGGTATGAACCTAGGTCGAACTACCAGTATTCTGTCATCTTAACCACTTGGCCATTAGCTACTGAAAGGATTGGCCTATTTTGTTTTGGTACTTGTATTACATGACTTGCTAACCCAAGCTATGTTATGTCACCAAATGCATCATGCTTTAACCCCATCTATAACATGAATTGAACAATCATTGCTTTCACAGAGGCCCTTCTCCCTCCATCCTCTTTCAGCAATGAGAACTGATAATAACGAGCCATTTTTCTGTGAAAGTTTCACAAAAAAAGATATTCCCAAATGAGACACCTCTTGCATTCCTTGTATTGATCAATTAACCAACTAACATTGATTACTATGCTGAAATTACTTGAAAGGCAAACTGACGTAGCAGCCATTTGCAAAATTTGTATATGTACGTGATATTTTCAATAGTCTGCTTTACTAGCCAGTTACCCCTTTTATGAAATATCATCTCAAAAGGAGTATAAGATTTGTAGTTTGTGTTAGTTCATAATGTAAGATTTTTTTGAACTGTGGTATTTAACTCCTTTATATAGTATTACAGTAACAAATTTACATGCTTACAGTAATCAAATAGATAAATTTACCTAAAGATATACAATAGAAAGAATCTGAGCCATATAGCCTCTAGAAGAATTGAATGACTGCATCAGATAAAATAATTTATAAAGATTAAAATTGCTGTTTGACTGTTTCAGGTTTTCAAAAAAATTTCCAGAAGGTAGACTTTCTGGTAACAACTTATGCCAAATGCACAAAGAAAAAAATATTTGACTTGTTTCTCAGATAATGTGGAATTTCTGAGAAAATAATATTCATTAAAAATATTTAATTGCATATCTTATTTATCATTTTTAATATATTTTAATTGTTAAGGTATAGATAGGTACTTAGATATTCATACAACCACTTGGCAGAGTTTGGTATTTTTTACAGATGAAAAGGTCAAAGTTACTTATTGGGTGCAAGTTGGTGGTTTACATGACTTTTTTTGTAAAAAAAAGATTCTGATGCTATCTGTAATTATGTAAGTCTGCAAACATTATCAACATATAAAAAGAAAACATACTTTAGGTATTTAATTATTAAAAAAGAATTATGGTCCATATTTAAAAAAATGAAGCACTTTCTTTTTCGAACATTTCTGCAATTTTTTTTTTTTTTTTTTTTTCCCCTGTGCTGTTTTTGCACAGCAATCTGTCTTTGCACAAAAGAACATAAGAGTGTCAAAGACCTGTCATTGTACAAATCCTGGCAACACTGGCCGTCTGCCAAACTCATCACCTTGTTGTTTCTGTTGGAGATTTTGGATGAAAATTCGTATTCATGCAAAAGTTTTACTGCAGTTTCTTCTATTGCTGGCAAATTCCACAAGTGTATATTTTGAAACTAAGTTTAAGGCAAAAAAATATCACAATTTGTTTATAAAAGCCATTAAAACTTACAATATATAACAAAAAGAACACATACAGAAATGTCAACGTTGCATGTGTGAAGAATTATTATCAGCATCGTTGCCTGAAGGATGGTTATGTGCATGGTTGCAAGAGTTTTACACAATCTAAAAATTTGATGACTGCTACCAGGTGGTTGCAATAAAATTTTAAGTACCTAGCTATATTTATAATAAATACCATATATGCTTCAAATAGCAGATAAAACCATTCTTTGTACATGATAAGATGTCATTAATGTTGTAAAAAGAAAACTATTTTAAAAAAGTATTATTATGACAGTTTAAGATATTTTTATTATCTTTTTTTAGGTGCGTGATCAACAGAATGTTGGGCGAGGTCGTGCGAGAGGCAGACCAGCTGATGGTAGTGGCCCAAACTTTGGTAATAATCCAAGATCAAGGCCTGATGTTCCAGAAATTCATTATGCGGTTCCTGCTAATAAATGTGGTCTTGTTATTGGGAAAGGTAAACTTGTCTTTTTTTTTTTTTTTTTTTTTTTTTGCTTTATCTTTCCATATGGTACCAGTATACATTCTGTAGTTAGAACAAATTAGATATTCAAAATTATTGTCATTATTCTTGATGAATTACGGCAAGCAAAAAATGTAAGTAATATAAAAAATTAAGTGCTTACATATATGTATAACCCCCCTTCCTAATGACTTTCATTTATGATTGCATTGATAAAAATTTGTTAGAGATGCATAGTTTTGTCTCAGATTTTAAATTAAAGTATGTTATTAAATAAGTGTTATAAGTTGTGTGAGAGCATGATATTTTTTTAATTCGAAGATTTCTTGGAAGGATTCCTCTTACGGACATTAAAAATTTTAAAGATATATTCATTTTTAGGATCTCCGCCTCCTCTCTCCCCCCAATTTTGAAATACTATTTAGTTTCATCACAGATTTAAGAACATGTTATAATTTAGTTTTGTCAGCCTTTAAAAACATCAAAAGCAGCAGAACCTTTTATTTTTCAATTTATTTAAGTTTGATTTTACATATAGTGTGCATAAATATTATATATGTAGAAAACAGTTTTTTTTTTTTTTTTTTTTTTTTTTTTTTTTTTACCAGAATTGTTAAATCATTTAAATATAGTCACGGAAGAATGTACATATGTATGTGTACCTTTCCATGTTGCATGCGTGTGCTATGTCCGGCACACCGGTGTGCCATGAGTAGGATATAGGTGTGCTGCAATCAAATACGTGTATTTGACATTTTGCAATTTTTTATCGTGTATTTAATACACAATGACAATTTTTTTTCCTTAATAATGTCTATTTTAAATGTTTTTATATATTTCACTGTTGTGTGGTTGTGTGTGTGATTGTGTGTCTCAGCATTTGCTCAAAAATATAGAACTTTTTTTAAACATAAATTTAAACGAAATATATTGGTTTTAGACCATTTTAATTAAAAATAATAGCTCTAAAACTGTTTTTTTTTTTTTTTTTTTTATTTTTAATTTGAAATAAACCAATCAAATTGAAGAATTTTTGTTTTTTAATTTTTTAAAAAAAATTTTGCTGTCAGTAATAACAAAAAATGGTATACAAAAATTACTTGAATTCTAATAAATTTATATAAAAACAAGTTTTTATCAACAATTATTTTTAGATATACTATAGAATTATTATTATAAGTAAATAATTATTCAACGGTGCATCGTGAGATGGTTAAAAACTGCATAGTGTGTACGTGTACAACCAAGATTCACCTAATTGATCACAGATAAAGCAGAATACCCATTATGTGCATGTGTTATTTACACTGCCATCCGGTACACCACGTGCAACCATACGCTACTGTTGTCAATATTTCACAACACAAAGTTAAATAAACACGTTTTTACCATTAAAGATATTTTTATTATGTAAGCGGAGACATTATTCATAGCCTCGGCTTCGTAAAAATGGTTTGTTTTGGATTTAATATTTTTATTTAGTTTATTTTCTGTCATTGAAATCATAATCTTCAATTCCCTTCCGGGTTGTTTTTCCTTTTATAGTAAAAATAATAAGTTTTGCAATTATTTATAAATGATGGTTGGGTCTGTCATAAAACAAATAAAAGGAGGAATATGAAATTAATAGCAAATGCTGTTGATTCAATGTTGGGTCAGTTTGTTGTTACTTTAAAACTCCTCTTTAATACGTCATCATTCTGATCACCAGGTCATGCGTAACGAAGAATGTGGCGGCCATAAGACCACATTCTTGTCGTCGCACGACATATTATCTTACTGAATAATGTTTTGTTAATGTTCTTCGTATAAATTTTTTTTAGTTTTTACCCCTTTTAAATATGGATAAATTTTTACGCCAGAAAGATTCTTCTTCACGTACAGATGATGAAGATCCACCTACAAGCGTTACAAAAAACCTGAAGAAAGTAGTGAAAAGAAAGTACGACGAGGATTACATTAAATATGGATTCTCGTGGTGTGGCAATAAAACATCACCAAGACCACGGTGCATCATTTGTGGCGATCAGCTATCAAACGAGTCAATGGTACCCAGTAAATTAAAGCGGCATCTATATTCAAGCCACCCCAGCTGTGCCAACAAAGACAAACAATATTTTAAGAGGTGTTTAGAACAAAATAAAAAACAGAAGAAATTTATGAAGTCGGCCGTAAACAGTTCTGAAAAGGGGCACTTAGAGGCTAGCTATCATGTTTCTAAATTAATTGCCACTCCAGAAAGAAGCCACATACTCTCGGCGAATCGCTTATTAACCAGCATGCATGAAATTGTCCGACTTATGCTTGGGCCCATGAAGCTGAGGAAGTGAATAAAATTCCATGTCTGCTGATACAGTTAAAAGAGTGTATTTGTGATATGTCAAGCGATATTTTAGAAACATTGATTAAAAAAACGTTATCGGCTGAAAAATTTGCGCTTCAGATCAATGAAACAAACTGATATTAATGAAATAAGCACAGCTGATAGCTATTGTACGTTTCGTTGATGAGGGCTTTATTAAAGAACATTATTTATTTTGTAAGGAGGTTCCAGAGCGAACAACCGGCGAAGAAATTTTTCGAGTAACTGATTATTTCTTCAAATTTGTAATATTTAATGGAGCAACTGCATTGCTGTTGCACGGATCTCGCTGTGGCAATGACAGGTAGTAAAAAAGGGTTGTCTCTTGTGTGAAACAAAAAATCCGACGGTAACATTTACACACTGCGCATACATCGAGAAGCATTGATGGCCAAGAATTTACCAGAACTTTTGAACACGATGAATGAATGCGTCAAAATCATAAACTTAATTAAATCAAGAGCCACAAATTCACGAATTTTTGGATTACTTTGCGCAGAAATGGGAGCCGAATATGAATCATTATTATTTTATACAGAAATTTGCTGGCTATCCCGAGGCAAAGTTTTGGCTAGATTATTTGAGCTTCGTCACGAGGTGCGTGAATTTCTTTTAACACATAATATGCTCAAAATATGCCAGCACCTCGATGATGATTACTGATAGCCAGCTTGCATAATGGCTGTATATTCGAGCATTTGAATGAACTTAATAAAAATGCAAGGTCGAAATGAGAATATTTTAACGTGCTCCGATAAAATTACAAGGATTATTAAAAACTCGACTTTGGGAGAAAGAGTTGCAAAAGGATGTTTAGAATGTCAGAAGACTAATTATAGTACAACGAAAACAACCAATCATTCTGGATCTGGCCCAACAACATTTAATTATTCAGCTGAAATTTGATCATATTTTTCTTCCATTAATACGAAAAATACGATTAGATTCGAAATCCTTTTGCAAACAGTGTAATAAATTCTACGGAAGCGCTGCCTCTAAAAAATTCGAGAGGAATTACAAATTGAAAAGTGACACGACTTTAAAATATACTTCTCCGAAGTTCCATTAGATGTTTTCTGGATTACGTTAAAATAGAATATCCTAATATTCCGAAAGGCAATTTTAAATTACTTCCATTTTCTACGACATATTATGTGGCAAAGTTTTTCAACTCTATTATTAATTAAAATGATAAGCGGTCATGCTTAAAGATCTTGACCAAGAACTTCGTGTTGCGTTGTCAGGTATGAGCCGAATATAAACTTTTGTGTCATTGAAGCAACGCTGGTATCACATTGATAATTATTATGATTGCATATAAATAAATATGTTATGGTTTTATAATTGTATATTTTGTTATATCCACACGGAAAGTTCACTGCCATTCCCCAGAGACCGGCGCCGAGCTCAACGTGTTAAAAAAGAGCTCATGAACTACTTCAGTGCTGGCTTATTGAGATTTAATCAGGCTTGCATAAAACCAAAGCAAAACTTTCAAGAAGTGGCCTGTTTTGATACTATTATTCATTACTAGCTCTAACACTAATCGGTAACCCCTTTTTTGTCTGAATGTTTGAAGGCATAACATAACTGCTGATTATTTTTATGAATCTAAACTTTGTGAAGATATTCAAGAATATTTTGATTTAATTTTTAAAAACCTTTTAAACGTTATTCGAATTGTTATAGTTTTCTTATATACAGTATAGTCCGTGACCCTTTCCCTTGGCTTTTTTTTCATTGTTTTATTAGGTTCTTAAGATACATGCCAGTCATATATATATATGATACACATACATCTTCATGTATTTGTCGAATTTATAGATGGGTATCTTTATTTGTATTTATTTATTACATGAGGATGGCTGTGTTGTGGGCAACATGGGGGCCCACCAGCGGCCAAGCGGGAAAGACGCGGAACACGGTAGGTCCGAGGTTGTTTTCTGCATGTTTAACATGTATGCGAGCCAGTTTTTTCCTTGGAAAGTCCTCCACGAAGGCATCCTTTCTTAGGCAGAAGCCCTCATGTGCACTGCCATAACTGAATACAGTCAAAAGTCGTTAATTCGGACACCCATAATCCGAAATGAATCTATAATCCGGACCTCAAAGCTAAAAACTTCTGCGCATGCGCCGCGTTGACACTGCGCATAGGGTTTTGTGGGCGTAAGACCTTTACGACTGCGCATGTGACTGTGTGCAGGCATTGCGTTTTCGGTGCATGTTTTAATGTAACGGACGGTATAAGCTAAAATTATCTAATTATCTATTTCAGTTAATGTTGATGATTGCGTTGTTCCTTAATCTTTGAATTGGATCCGGCTTATTTTTGCAGACTGTAAAAGAGCAATTTTATAAAGTAACTTGAACTTTCGATTATGTCAAATAATTTCCGATGCTGGAGCTCCCCAAAGGATCTTCAAAACGAAAGTATGTTCGATTTGTCCATCAAAAAAAAAAGTGGAATTGCTGCAAAAAAAAGGATAAAGACATGAAGAAGGTGACAGAGAAGGTTAGTGAAAACGAAAAAATTTCGATTGACAATTTAGTCGGTATTCTCGTGACTTGAACAGCAATTACGTGACTTGAACAGCGAAACTTGTAACCGAACAGAAATTATGTGTTTATAGAAATAAAGAGAAAGTATTATCACATAAAATGAAAGCAACTTAAACAAAGCAATTGAATTTTCTAACAAACTAAACTGAAAAGCAATTGAATTTTCTCTGGGGATTATATCTAAAACAAAAACCTTGCGAATTAGATAAATTCTGCTTTGTGAGTGAGAGCATATACATCTCCGAAACGTCATTCTCCAATGGGCATCGTGCTCCACTGCGTGTCACCTGGCATATATTAACAATGAGGACAAAGCAAGCTGTTGTTTGGATGTTCTTTAGTTATTTCAGTCATTTTGTTCTGAGTTGTGTGAGTACATGTCTTCCAAAAATAATTTTAGAAATTATCATCTTTTGTTATGTCTGCGAAAGGTGAAATACTCGTGTACGTTTCAAAAATCATACACAGTTGACTTTCCTTCCATTATTTCCTCAAGGAAATGTAATGAATTTGCAATGTGTACCGCCTGTCATTGCGATTTTCGATTGATTTCGCATGGTGGAAGGGCAAGATGTTCTCAAACATGTGTGTACACAAAAACAGGACAACATAGAGTTGGTTTGAAAAAAACGAAAAATTAAATTTTTCTTCGGAAACAAAGGACCAAAAAGTTATTAACGCAGAATGTCTGTTCTCTTTTTACTGGAGCACAACCTGCCACTGATGCATGGATCACGTTACGCGTTATTTAGAAAAATGTTTCCCGATAGTGAAATCGCTAAGAAATACTCAAGTGCAAGAACCAAAACAGGTGCAATTGTTCAAGAAATGGATTGAAAATAAATCTTCAGTTTGATTGCGTTAAAAAACGCTCCGTTCTGCTTCTCCAGGGATGGAAGCAATAATACAGTCAAAGTCGTTAATCCATTCTTCGGCGTTCCGGATTATCGGTTTTTCCGGATTATAGATCATCAGTTAAATCTGGTAAGATGGCATTCAGAAATTATAAAATTAAAAATATGAAACCGTAATTTATGAATAAAGAACAATTATGATCTAAAGGGTAAAAAATTATAAAAGAAAGCTTAATATTTAACTTTATTAACATTTCTTTCAATGTAAGTTTTAAGTTGCTTCGTTTTTATGATAATTTCTCTTTAATTCTATAACAGACATTAATTTTTTGTTCCGCTGTTCAAGTCCTATAATTGCTGTGTCGAGAATACCGACTAATTTGTCAATCAAAATGTTTTCATTTCAATAACCCTGTCTTTTCTTCGCTATCGGAAGCGAATATTTGCGCAGCGCACAGGCATATTTGCAGCCGTAAGAAGTTTGTAGCTTTTGAGGTCCGGATATAGATCATTCTGGATTATGGGTGTCCGAATTAACGACTTTTGACTGTACTGATTCAAAACTGTATCCAATTGTTGTTTCTTTTTAATCCAGAGTCTTCAAGAAAATGAGTGCAGTTACTTTCTGTTTCCCCACTTTAGAAGGACATTTGACAAGCTTTACTATAGCACAGCTAATTAATTAAAACTTTAAAAGAAAAATGCAGTCCCTCTGGATAATTGCTTAGCACTTGGTGCTGATAATGCACCAGTATTAAGACTGGTGTTGCAGGCATCTGGAGAAAGGAAAATTCAGATTTGCAGATTATGAAGTGCACCTGTTAATTTAACAGTGAAAAGGGGCAGGTTTTTTACCAATAATGTGGATGAACACATGTTGATATTTACCATTATCTTGAAAGGAGTTCTAAAAGGAAGGAAAAATTGAAACATTTCCAACAGCTGCATAACAGCAGTTTACAATTAGAAAACTTGGATGAAGTTATAAAATCAGCTAGGACTGACACCCAGTGGAGTTTAATTGGAAAACTGAAAGATGCTGATGGAATTTTAAAATGTAGTGAACTGTCTAGAATTATGTTGGCCATCTTGACAGTTTCCCATAGTAATGCAAAGTGTGAGAGGATTTTCAGTGTTGTTGGAAAACGAGGATTAAATTTAGATCTAATATTAGTGATGACAAATCAGAAAAACTTTTATTAGCAAAAGCAGGCCTACATGGCAATTGCTAGGAACAAAAGTATGAAATTTCTTCCTTAAAGAAAGCAAAATCTGCCACTGTTTATAACATTTGTACAAAAACTGATTAAACTTTTTTTTTTTTTTTTTAACGATGCAAGTAATAAAAATGTTTTTTTTATGTGTATATGTTGCTTGCATTTAAGAATTAGTTACTATTTAAAGTTAATTCATTATCAAAAACTATATTTTCATCATTTAAAAAGTCTTTTTAACATTGTGAAAAATCTCCCGATTTCTTAAAAAAGTCTCCTGATTTTGAGTGTCATAGGTAGGCAAGTATGCATTAGCTTTTGGTGTGCCACGAAATTCCAGAAAGATTTTTTGTGGGTCGCAGGTGAGAAAAGGTTGCGGAGCACTGTGCTATGTAAACAAAAGTATTTTGATGTCATTTGTTGGTAGTAGATTTGCCTTCTACAGTAACATTCAATGCTTGGAGAGTAATGGTTACAAATCATGTAGATATGTTCAGAATCTCCATAGCAAACCTTAAATTTCAAAATGAACGGGTAAGGTCTACTTTGTGATTTTTAAAAAAGAGAAATGATTGGTTGCTTTCATTTTGGAAAATTCATTTGTGAAATTCAGCAATAAATAATAATATTAATGGAAGATTAATTTGGTCTGCAATAAATTTGAAACTTTTTTTTCATTAAAATTTTGTGTAGAATTTATCTGCAGAAATTTTGCCTGTCATATATAATCACTAATGACTTTTCTTTAAAAAAAATAGGTGGAGAAACAGTAAAAAATATTAATCAGGTATCAGGAGCATATGTTACACTTTCTGCCTTACCTCCTCCCAATGCACAAGAAAAAGTATTTGTTATTCGGGGACAACCTCCTCAGATTGAACATGCAAAAGAACTCATTAATGAAAGAATTGGAGGAGTTGGAACAGTAGTAAGTATTAAATTACTTCCAACTATGTCTGATTAATAAAAACATAAATATGTTTAATGAAGGCAAACAAGTTACTTTAAGTTGAAGGTTTTATAAATGATTACCTTCCAATCCTTACCTCCCATAGTCTATTTTATCTATTCCCCCCCCCCAGTTTAGATGTGTGCAGATTTTATTTGAATTCAGATTGTCCTAAAATATATGTTGGGTGTATTTCAATGTTTTAAAATGTCTCAATGAAGGAAATATTCCTAACTGAAGATTTGTAACAAATACAAGGGAAAGCATTTCCGAAATTATTATATCGCAAGAAGAAGCATGTAGATTTCAAAAACAGAATTTGGCATAAGTTGATACTGAATTTTATTTAAAGAAATTTTTTTAGTCAGTGTTCTTTGTGGTCCTTATAGTCTTATTTCCTCCCATAAAAGCAACATCAATCTAAGGTAAATCTAGACTACTTTTCAGTTTCCATGATTATGTTGTTTAGATACCAGTGTACATTTTACGTAAGATATAAATAATAAAAATCAAGATTTGTATTAAAGGGAACTAATTCCTCCTCCCCTCTATGCATGTAATATAGATATGGATTTTAATATAGATTTTTCTTCATTAAATCACTAAACAAAAATTAATTCTAGTTATATAATAATATTTTTTTTTTAAATCAGATCTGGTAGTTTTGAAAAATTTCTATCTGCTGAAAAATTTTGAGAATGATTTCTGAAACGATTTATGTATTCTCTCTCCAGGTTGTTACTCGAATTACTTAAATTAGACTGTCCATGCTTATAAGCATAAAATAATGAAAAAATGAATACACATGCATATATATGTAATGATTATTATAAAAGGAAATGGGATTGTTATATCAAATGATATTTAATATGTTTTAAGAGATTTTTGCTTGGTATGATTGTAAGTAGTGCCAGTTGCCATGTCATTTGGGTGTAGGTTTATATTATAGCTGTAATGTTTTTGCAGCACACTTAAAATACAGTCAAAAGCCTTTAATTCGGACACCCGTAATCCGGACCCCAAAGCTACAAACTTTCTGCGCATGCGCCTCGTTGATGCATGCACGTAAGACCTTTACGGCTGTGGTTATTCACATAATACGTTTAGGCATGCGCGTTTAATGTATAAGAGACGGTATAAGCTAAGCTAAAATTATCTAATTCAGTTAATGTTGCAGATTGCGTTGTTCCTTAATCTTTGAATTGGATCCGGCTTATTATTTTTTGCAGACTGTTAGAGCAATTTTATAAAAGTAGGCTTGAACTTTCGATTATGTCAAATAGAATTTTCGATATATATTTACTAATATGTAAAGGATCTACAAAGCGAAAGTATGTTTCGAAGTCCATTAAACAAAAAGTGAAATTGCTGTAAATGGATAAAGGCATATCCTTTGTTTCTCTAACCATTCCGAAATCTGTTTATTTTTTTTATGCTGCTCTATGGGGGGGGACGCCGCGGTGCGCAATGAATTGGAAGTTGATCTGTCAGCACTATCCTTATCTTCAGAGCAAATGTTTTTATTTTATTTGGCTTATAATTCCTTACTAAATGTAGTATTTTATCACGATGTACTCCGTCTTTGATATGATTTAAATCAAATTCCTCGTCATTATAATTCGCTTCCGATAGTGAAGAAAGTGACACAGAGGTTATTGAAAACGAAAAAATTTCGATTGACAAATTAGTCGGTATTCTCGACACAGCAATTATAGGACTTGAACAGCGCAACTTTGTAACTAAACAGGAAATTATGTCTGTTTATAGAATTAAAGAGAAAGTATTATCACATAAAACGAAGCAATTTAAACAATTTGCATTGAAAGAAATGTTTAATAAAGTAAACAAATAAATTTGATACCCTTTAGATCATAATTGTTCTTTATTTCATAAATTACAATTTCATATTTTTAATTTTATAATTTCTGCATGGCATCTTACCAGATTTAAACTGATGATCTATAATCCGGAAAAATCGATAATCCGGGATCGCTGAAGTCCCAACGAGTCCGGATTAACGACTTTTGACTGTACCAACAACCTCAAAAGCTTTATCTAATGGTTGTTGGTAAGGGAAAAAGAGATAAAGATACTTCAATCTATTCTTTAGAATGTTTTCTTCAAAATTGGGATGGAACTAGACAAATCTGTAACCCAATGCCTTGCAATGTATGCAGCCATGCTTTCTTTCTTTTTGTCATAATGAATTTATAAACCTCATTTAAATTATATTCAGATCAAGAAGATAAGTAAGAGCTATAACAGTAAGAGTTTTACATTTCAAGTTTACTTTTGAATTTTATTTCTTTTAGATTCAATCTCAAAATCCTCAGAATCAGCAAAATTTTCCTCCTCAGTTTCCACAACAGCAACAGTAGTAAGTTTCTCATTAATATTTCCTATAAATAATAAAAAAATATTGATTTTGTATGCATGTAAAATTATTATTGTTCCTTCTCTTATTTTCCAATTTAAGCAAATGATGTGCATGAGACTGGAAAACCACTGTTCATCAAATTGTTTTCATTGTCCATTATTTTCTTATCCATTGTTTGTCAATTATTGGTTTTATTAACATTATGCATCGAATCCATTGATTTCATTATCTGTGGCTTTGTTATGTGTTGTACACTGGATAAATCTAATGTGCACAGATAAGGCACTACAGCCGCCAACCCTCCCGTTTTTCCATCTTTCCTTTTTTAAAAAAAATTTTAGCCTCTTAATTTCATCGCCGCCAGCGCAGCAAATCTCTGAATCTCTAGGATTTTAATTTTTAGCCTTCTATTTTGCTGCTACCAACATAGCATGAATTACATTAGGAACTTGTTTATAATCTATAACAGCGTATTAATTTCAGTACTTGTCTTCTGTAATGGCCTTGGTGAGAAAAAATAGCATTGGCACAGTTCGAAGTTAAGGAAGTGCAATTTGTTGCCAATTTTATATGCATCCACAAAAACAGAATTGATTGTGGTAAACAATAAATCAGCAATTTATTTAAAATAACAACATATGTATTATTTAAAATAACAATAAATACACATATGTTGGATATTCCTATTGATTATTTTATTTAATGCAATTTTTTTAGCAATTTATTTGAAAATGACATATAAACATACGGGAAAATTAATTTTTGATGGTCTTTCTGGGAACCACAGTTCTGAAGTTGCTCTGCATTAAGAATGTGATTTATATGAATCCTATATGATTGGTATGCAGGAAAATAGTTTGAAGAAATGAAAGGAAATTGTAAAGCAAGGAACAAATCAATGAAATAAGTATTAAAAAAGGACAAATATATACTCCAGTTGGTTTGTTGTGAGAATGTAGGTGGTACAGTGATGTGTTAATCAAATTACCCTCTAAAATGTAAAAAATTGCCTGATTTATTTCAAAATACTTACATTTCAATAAAAACTTTTTTAATATTTTTCATCCTTTGACTTAAAATAACTACTTATTTAAAAGTGACACATTTTTCATTCACCCTTAGCTCTTCATTTTAGCTCTAGCTGTAATAAAAATCCGAGACTGCCTGTATCAAGCCTGTGCTACAAGTTCATACTCGGATTTTTATCTGTAACAAAAATGCTACATTTGAAAAAAGTAGCACTAAATAGGCATATTGTATGCTGTCAAAAAATTCTGCTTGTGGTTGGTTTTTGTGTCTTAAGCAAGTCTAACCATTGTTTCATAGATGTGTTTAATTCTAGATTGTAACATTTAAAAAAATATTTATGTCATAAATAAAGAAGCTATACTGACTACCAATAAGTATTTGGACACCTAATGCAAGTGACGATATCTGCGGTCCTAAGGTACATCACGGACTCCGCCAGTATATATATCGTGTAGGAAACAGCATCGTCTTTAGTCGCATGCAAGATGCCTCGCAGTTCGGAGCTCTCTGATTTCGAGGAAGGTATAATTATCGGGTATCACAAATGTGGCCGATCTTTAAGGGACATATCTAGCGATCTGAAGTACCCAAAATCGACAGTGGCCTATGTGGTTAAGAAGTGGAAGGTGATCGGTGATTGTCGGAATGTGCCCCGAGTCGGCAGACCAACGAAACTGAGAGATAGGGACTGATGAGTGCTGTCGAGAGAAATTCGGAAGAACCGCACTCAACCGATGGCCCTCATCCGCGAGAAGTTTCAACAGGCATTCGGGAGTATTGTTTCAATGAATACAATCCGTAAGGAAGCACATCTGCTTGGTTTTCATGGTTGTGCTGCTGTCCATAAGCCTTTGATCACAAAGTCCAACCGTGCTGTGGTGGTGCAAAGAACATCGCAAAGCACATCGAAATTGGACCAAAATGTGGTGCAAAACACATCGAAATTGGACTGTAGATCAGTGGAAACGGGTTCTTTGGAGTGAGGAATCAAGGTTCACCCTTTACCATTCGCATGGCAGGGTCTGGGTCTGGCGTGTACCTGGAGAACGTCTTCTGCAAGAATGCATTGTGCCAACAGTCAAGTTCGGCAGAGATGGAATTATGGTCTGGGGGTGTTTCTCCTGGTATGGGCTGGGACCCTTGGTCCCCATTCATGGTAAGCTCAACTCCGATGCCTACTGCACTATTTTGGATGACAATGTGCTTCCTACGTTGTGGCAGTTTTACGGGTTGGACCCCTGATACTTTCAGGACGACAATGCCAGTTGTCATTTTTCGACGTTAACCAAGGTTTGGTATGGTGCCAATGGAGTTCATCGAATGGACTGACCTGCCCAGAGTCCAGACCTGAACCCTATCGAGAACCTCTGGGACGAGTTGCATCACCGAATTCAGGGGTGCACTACCCATGCAAAATTGGTGAAGGAACTTCTGTCTTCTCCAAGCCGAGTGGAAGAAAATACCACTAGCTGTCATACAAAGACTTGTGGAAAGTATGCCCCGGAGGGTCCTTCTTGTAATTACCTCTCTCGTGGAGGCTCTACCAACTATTGATTTTGAATAAAGTTAGTTTTTCTTTTCTATCACAGGTGTCTAAATACTTATTGGTAGTCAGTGTATTACATATATCCCTTACTATTTTCTTCTGTGTGTCTCTTTTGTTGTTGTTTGCTTTATTGAATAAGCATGATACTTTTTGAATAATTTATACAGTCAAAAGTCGTTAATCCGGACTCGTCGGGACTTCGGCGATTCCGGATTATAGATCATCAGTTTAAATCTGGTAAGATGGCATGCAGAAAGTACAAAATTAAAAATATGAAACCGTAATTTATGAAATAAAGAACAATTATGATCTAAAGGGTATCAAAATTTACAAAAAGAAAAAGCTTAATATTTATTTGTTTACTTTATTAAACATTTCTTTCAATGTAAGTTGCTTCGTTTCATGTGATAATACTTTCTCTTTAATTCTATTAAAGAGACATAATTTCTTGTTTAGTTACGAATTTCCGCTGTTTAAGTCCTATAATTGCTGTGTTGAGAATACCGACTAATTTGTCAATCGAAATGTTTTCGTTTTCAGTAACCTCTGGGTCACTTTCTTCAACTATCGGAAGCGAATTATAATGACCAGGAACTTGATTTAAATCATATCAAAGACTGAGTACATCGAGATGAAATACTACACTTAGTAAGGAATTATAAGCCAAATAAAATAAAAACATCTGCTCTGAAGATAAGGATAGTGCTGACAGATCAACTTCCAATCCGCATGAAATTGATAAACAGATTTCGGATTTCAAAACATACTTTCGCTTTGTAGATGCAAATTACATATTAGTAAAGATATATCAGAAATTCTATTTGACATAATCGAAAGTTCAAGCTTACTTTTATGAAATTCCTCTAATAATCTGCAAAAAAATAATGACCTGGATCCAATTCAAAGATTAAGGAACAACATAATCTGCAACATTAACTGAATTAGATAATTTTAGCTTAGCTTATACCTCCGTTGCACATTAAACGCGCATGCGCACAAACATATTCGCAGCCGTAAAGGTCTTACGCGCACTCTTAAACGCCTGTGCACATGCGTGAACGCGACGCATGCGCTGAAAGTGTGTAGCTGTGAGGTCAGGATTATGGGTGTCCGAATTAACCACTTTTGACTATCTTTTTTTAGTAATATATTTAATTAATGCTCTTATTGGCAACATGTTTCACAAAGAAAGCTCATATTTCCCAATACTGCCATGAGAAAGAGGTATGAGGAGTGTTCAAATGAAGGTACAAAATGTTGTAACAACCAAACCAGCTGAGATTTGAATATGTTGCTTTGGGATGATGTGGTAGTATATCTGGGAATGCGAATGTAGTGTCCGGCATGGTTGTGTGCATGCATGGGCACCTGCATGTGACATAGGAAAGAAGTAGGCAGTTGTGTGTTACATCCAAGTGACACGGTTGAGGAGCACCAAGATATTATCAGATTTCTGACTGTGGAAGTGGTTTAACCAGCCGGTGTTCATTATGAGATGGTGGCCCTATACAGGGGATACTATATCCGACAAGTCAGTGAGAAAGTATAGAGCCCATTTTCGTAAGGTCTGGGGAGAGAGTGGTAACCTGAGACGAGGGCAGGCAAGCACGGTAATGACGGCCGAACTCGTCAATAAAGTGATCGGCATGTCACAAGCAAATGTTGGGGGCCAGCGTTGGAACAGTGTAGACAGTTGTGATTGACAGGTTGGGTTACTGTATGCATGCAGTGGGTTCTGAAGGAGAAACTACGCATGGAGTTCTGAATCTGGGACTGCAACATGTGTTTCGGTATCATGAAGATCCTGCTTTGCTGAAGTGGATTGTCGCCAGTTGTGAGTGCTGGTGTTATCATTTCGAGCCAGAGATAAATTGGTACAGCATGCATTTTCTTTCTATAAAATTCAAAACTGTGCCCTCAGCATGCGAGGCTATGCTCACTATCTTTTCTGAGGTCCAATACTCATCAAGTTCTTCGAGCGCTGAAAAACCATTAACAGTGACGTTTGCTGCGAGACATTCCATAGCCTATGCAAGTCCTTCAAAAGCAAACAGCTTGAGCTGCTCACGGGAGTTATTCTGCTCCACCATAATTCACGTCCACACTGCTCTCAAGATCACACAAGTGTAACAGCCAAGTTCAAGTGAGAGTAGCTTGAGCGTCTGCTCTACAGCCCGGACATGTCACTCTGCGACTTCCATGTGTTTGGCCAGCTAAGAAAATCTCAGAGAGAAGTGCTTCAACTTGGATGATGAAATGCAGGACTGTCTCCTATCATAGCCACAGGAATTCTGGGAACAGGGAAACTTTTAGCTCATGAAGCAGTAGGATAGTTGTGTTGAGGCATGTGATTGCTTGTGAATAGAGACTTCAGTTATACCCACAGTGTAATTCTGTACCTTATCATTTGAATACCTTTCATATTTTCTTAATTTTAATGAAAAAAATGCTCCTGGTTTTGTGAACTCATAATGTATTGCCTTAATTTCTCATCATATTTCAAGGTGCATGTATATACTTTCTTAAAGAGGTCACAAAATATATTCTAGGCTCTCTCTTTATATATATGTATATACACACATACACATATATGGCATTGCTGTTCAGAGGATTAATAATATGCCTGACTAATAACCATTATAAATTATTTGCACAAATATTGTAATTGATAATTACATATCTCCCATACAAAATAGCTTGCTTTTATCTAATTAAAAAATTTTGAAGCTATTTTAATTAATTTTATTATATTTTATAAACAATATCCTTTATTAGCTTCAGGGTATTGAATTTGAAATGAAAACATGTGCCCCTTTATTTAAATATGGGACAGACTAGGTTAATCGTATCTAAAGTTATCTTCAGGTTAAACATGCGAATATCAGGCATTGAAATGTATAGGCAGATATTAAGTTGGAAAATAAGCATGAAATCTTCAATGGAAGTATGAATTAATAAAAAAAGTGTTTTTATAAATTCAGCAAAAATTTCCAGTTGATAAGGTAGGTTATTTGTTTTAAATTTTGCTATGAAAGTATTTTCAAGTTCCTTGTGAAGAATAAATAATTTGATCATACTGCTAGGATAAAAACACGTGTCATTTAGTTTTTGTTATTTGCTTTTTTTTTTTTTCTTCTTTTTTTTTCTGAAATTAAATGTGTTTAAAAATATTTACAGTCAGCAAGCACCATCACAAGCTCAACCATATGCACCACAAGGATGGGCAAATGCATATCAACCATGGCAAGGTCAAACCGCTCCTGCAGCAGATCCAAGTAAGTGTGACTCCATTATTAAAAATGTAATGTTTTTCGTGCCCCTCTTATTTTCCTATTAAGTGCAATATGCATGCGATTTCATAATCTGAAAATGTTTCTTTTTAAATGTTATATATGCTGTGTGTAATATATAATATGTGTATGCATTTGAATATGTGTTCATGTTAAAATTTGCATTTGACAGTTTGAATAATATAAAAAAAATCCTTTAAAACACCCATATACATAAATGTGTGTGTGCATGTATACATATGTATTTACATGTGCACAGGATGTGTAATAAAGTCTTGAAACACCAAAATATCTTTTAATTGGAGAAAATAAAACTTGTTGAAGTTGTGTCTACCTATGGTACAGTTTCTGTATTTTGTCATATGAGACCAGTTGCTGAATCTCAAGAAACAAATCATTGAAATTTTTGTTGTGTTATGAAAACTGAAAAGAGAGAGTGAAATAGAGTTATTTGTGAATATGTAGAGTGTATCTAATTTAGTATAAAATGGTGTTCCATATACTAATAACTTGAATAAAAAGTCCTAAAAAGCAGATCATCCAGTTCTGTGATAAATTTTATGGGGAGATAAAAAATATTGAAATGTTCGGTTAGGAAGCATTAAAAAATACTTATTTTTACAATTTATTAAGAGGTATTTTACAATCCATAGAGGAAACTTTGTAGTTGGAATTCTTGTTGAGGTAGATTTTACCTGCTAATAGAAATAAGGAATTCTTAATTTGATTTTAGCAGTAGCAATTTGTTAATGTGGTTTGTAAAACGAAATTTTATTGCTAATCAGAGCAGTTTTTATTTTGTCTGTTAATTCCCAACTTCATTTCTGGAAAAAAAAAAAAAAAAAAAAAACAGATGCTGCTGCTTGGGCTGCTTATTACAGTCAATATTATGGTCAACAGCAAGCTCACCAAATGCAACCTTCTGCTGCTCAGCCTACAATGCAGCCTGGTGTTGCCCCACAACCTGGTATGCCCTCCCAGCCTGATCAGAATCAAGCGGCTTCTCAGCAGCCTCCTGCAGGTGAGAGTCTTTATTAATGGCATTTTTAAATTATAGCATTGGTGTTTTATAGAACTTACATGATTGTGTCTAATAAATTATTACTCAATCGTTATTTGCTGATCTATTTAAATTTTGTAGCTACACCTGCTGCTGCTATTCCTGCTGCAGCAGCTCCTGTAGGTTCAGCTGTAGCACCTCAGCCAGATTACAGTGCTGCCTGGGCTGAATATTATAGGTCTTTAGGTATGTTTCGAGAAGCAGAAATGATAGAGAATCAAGCAAGGACGACAGCACAGCTGGCTGCCACTGTCATGGCACCTCAGGTATGTCTTAAATTTATAGGTTTGAAAATCTTAATTCCTTTGTACCAAGTCTGCATATTTTTGTGAAATTAAGAAGCGTAAAGAAATAATTTAATTTAAGAGCTTACAAAAATTTTATTTCCTTCAAAGATGAAATATTTCAATCAAATGGTAAATAACTAGGAAAAAAAGTGACGTACAAATAAAATCAAGGTGCTTATACATTACTGTGTCAAGCATAAAAGTTGGAGGAGAACCTGCCAGAGTTACACCAGTTCATGCAGAATTCTGAACTGCACTTTTACCTTCATCTCTTACAATAAAACTTTATCAGTCTCCGCGTAATCCACCAAATAGCCACCGCTGCAAAATTATTAAACCTACTTTGTTTTTGCACTTCATAAAAAGGCTTTCATCAGTTTTTATTATTTTAAACCCTTCAGTTTTACCAAGTTGCCATTAGTATAGATCAGTACAGTAGAATGCTATTAGTACAGATTTCCTGGATGTGATTATTCCAGTCTGCATTTCCTCCCCTTTCAACAGATGTTAATTCTTCTCTACAGGTATAAAATAACTGGAGTTTGTCTACTACTAAATTTCCACAGTCCTCAAATTCAGTTTTTTTAATGCAAGGGGGGAAGCTGCAATACTGTTAATTTATGTCCTTGGTCACAAAGTCTGGATTACATCAAACAAAAGTGCAGATGTTTTGAATGTGTTGTAGATGACATGTTTATTCATATAGCATAATTATATTCCTATTTATATGTCAGTAAATTGTAGCATAGACATGTACACTGTGAAAAAAAAATGGGGGCAGTTCTATATCTCCTGTTCTGGGCAAATTGGCGAAACTCAAATTGCGTTTTTCATGTCTCGAAAGCGTAACATAGGATACATATTAATTTATATTTAGAATTGTTCTAATATAGGTATTTTGACACAAAACCGGATTTTATCTGAAATGACATGCCATTTTCTTCCATGTTTCAATTCCACGAATCAAATTATGCCAAACTGCCAAGTTTTGTAGAAGTTGCATGAGTAGGTTTTAAAAAAATTGCTCTAAAAATTTTAGCTCCTCAGTGTTTTGAATTTGACATGTATTTATTAATATCTCTTTTTTTATTAAACTTACTTGATTCCTTCTTCCAGAATTCAAATTTTAGTCTTAATCCAAATATAATTTGCCCCCCCTTTTTAAATTTGTATTTTTAAATATTTTTTATAAATTTGTGGGAAAAAATGTATTATAAGCTATAAAATTTGTCACATCATCTTAAAGTATATGTATTTCTAGGCAAACCTTGAAAAAAAAAATAGTTTATTCAAAATTTTTTAAGATATATATGTATATATACATATTGGTGTGTTTTGAAATTTGACATCTTTTTTTTTTTGTTTGTTTGTTTTGAATGATAATAAAGCCAAACCACTTTATTATTAAAATTATTTGAAAGTGTGAATAATGACATTTTCCCCCACTCATCTGCAATGAAAAAAAGAAAAGGAAAAGATGTTGCTATAAATTAAGAAGTTCACCAAGTAAATTATTCTTTGTGAAAACTGAAAAAAATATGCCAAAATAAATTTTTGAATTTCTCCATAAATTTCACACCAAAGTTTACAAAATTTAATATTTAGACATAATTTGAGTCAAAAGTCCGATTTTGTGTAAAAATACTTATCTTAGAACAATGCTGTATATAAATCTAATATATATCCTAGGTCGTGCTTTTGAGACATGAAAATCACAATTTGAATTTCGTCAATCAGCCAAATAGAACATAAGATATAAACATGTTTTTCTTTTCCCCCTGCAGTATACATCTGTACTCATTTAAACTGCAGCTAAGTAGGTTGAACGTATTTCTATTTGGATTCAGTTGTTTGAATTAATTCTATGGGCATGTTTGTGGTCCTCATGCATGATATGATTACTAGCCAATTTTACTTATACAGTTGTTGATGAAAGCATCTCTTCCCCTGGGCAGATTAGATGCATTGTCTAAGAGGGCAGTCCTTATTGTTATCAAATAATACATTAAGCTGTGGCCTGCACTTTGAACAGCCTGTGTATAGATGGAGCTTAAATGTCTGGAAGATTAGCTTTTGTGGGATGTGAAAGCAGAAGAGGGAAACAAATGTAATATGTAGAATAATCATATATAAATATGCTTGCTCCTTTCATTTGATTTCTCCTTTCCCCTTTCATCACTAGCACTGTAAGAAAATATGACAAGTGTCAGATTTTACAATTTTCATCTTAGAAAAACAAACCTTTTAATGGCATCTTACCCCTCTCTATGTTTAGCAAGAATATTACACTTAAAAACTTTTGCTTTTAAGTTTTTTATTTTGCTCTTAAGTATTTTGCTTTAACTTTGCTTTCAAGTGATATTGTGATTAAAATTTTAAGTTTTTTAGATTAGTGGTACAAAATTTTTCATTTTAAGTGCTATAAATTCTGAAGTGACAAAGAGTGAAGTAATCAGTAATGTCTACTTTTTTTAAGTATTTCATGTTTTCTTTATTCAAAAGTGTACATATTTTGTGCTATAAAATTAGTGATTGCAGTACATTTTACTTTCTTACAAAAATAGTGGGCATAAAATATTTGTTTTAGACATGGCCTTTGGATTGTCATTTAACATTTCTACTATACTGAAGCACTTTTCTGAAAATCAGTACACCAGAAATAGAAGCATATAAGAGCAATAAATTATATCTTAAGTGATATATCATCAATTATATCAATCAAGCGAATTTTTAAGGAATACCACTTTTCTTTTGTATGAGATGGGAGGAAAGAAAGGCACACTCAAAAGTGACTGCTGTATTGAATGATAGAAAAGCAAGCTATCTTTAATGCTTTTAAACTGTAAGTCTTTATATATATGGAAACCTTCCAAAAATTATTTATACTATTACAGAGGCTTTTCATTTCTTTTATATGATTAAAGTTTAAATGGATATTTTGATGTTATTCTAAATACAGAGTTGCATCTTCTGATTTCTGACCATACTCCCACGAACCTTATTTTTAACGTATTTCTTCAAAGTTTCTCTTATTCGTATCATTTCTCACAATTTTTATTAAACTTGGCTGAATACTTCATTATTTGCCCTCCAAAATGTGGTTTTCGAAGTCTGAAAGCGCTTGTTTTTTCTAGATGCATATAAATAAAAAACGAAATCGTTTCATCTGAGGTATGGTGCATTTCTTTCTGCTTTGTTTATGAGAGTCTGAAACACGTGTCCTACATATTGTAGTTGTCCAAGGAGAATCTAGCACTGCTGTGGGGCATATATTAGCCAGTGAGCCCAAAGCAAAATAGAGGTTGTTTATTTAGTTCGTCTCACCATATAGCTGCTTAAGTTTCACATGCTTCCCAGAAACAGGTTAAGAAGCTGGTATCTTTTGCCTTAGTTACGTCTGCCAAAAATGTAAAATATTCATGTACTTTTAAAAAATTGTGTACAGATGACTTTCCTTCTATTATTTCAGCACGAAAACGTAATATTGCAATGAGTATCATTTGTCTTTTCAGTTTCACGCAGTGGAAGGGCCAATGTTCTTAAGTATGTGCACATACAAGGACAGTGTGAGTTGTACTTAAGGGAAGGAAAGAACTAAAAAGTAATTAATGTAGAATGCCTGTTCTCTGCCTTAAGAATAATGCTTGTTCTTTGCCTCTAAATGCATCAAATCATGCTGCAACTTTTTTAGAAATATGTTTCCCGGCTGTAAAATTTCTAAGAAAAATTCAAGTGCAAGGACAAAATCAGCTCTAGTTGTAGAAGAAATGGGCTCAAGAAATTAGTATGAAAAATAAATCTTCAGTTATTGATTGCATTAAAACAGTTCCATTTATGGATGGAAGCAATAATATGGATGCAAAACTGTATCTAAATGTTGTTTCTTTTCTTTCTCTCTTTCTCTCTTTTTTTTTTTTTTTTAAATCCAGAGTCTTTGGAAACTGAGTGTGGTTTACTTTGCCCCCACTTTAGAAGAGATTTCACAGGCTTTAATATATAGCACGGCTAATTATTAAAACTTTAAAAGAAAGTGCAGTTCTTCAAGATAATTGCTTGGCACTTAGTGCCACACCAAGAATGCACCAGGAATTGAAGGCTTTTTGTTGCAGGATCTTAAAAAAAGAAATTCATATTTACTAATAATGAAATGCACCTGTCATCTCTTAAATTTAGCAGTGAAAAAGGGGCCAGCTTGCTTGCCACAATACGTGTGGTTGAACACATTGTTAATATTTATTATCTTGGAAGGATTACTAAAAGGAAGGGAAAATTGAAATAATTCCTGCATCTGCATAATAGTGAAATAAGAAAAATCTGAAATATGTATCTACTCATTAGTTATCTATCTTTAGAGAAATGTTTAGCTAGAATCTTCGACCAGTGGAACCCACTTCTTACATTTTTTAAGGATGAAGTAAATGCTTCTAGAGTTAAGATAAAAGGCTCTGTTGAAAGTTATAAAATACCTTAGATAAATGGAGATGCAGTTATTACTTCCATTGTTAAAAACGTGTGAGAAAAATTAATTTCTGCACCCGTGAGCAATTCACAAAATATAAGTATAAAGCTCTCCCAAAATAAAAATATCACTTGACAAGCGACTAATTATCTGATTAGAGTAAGTTTATCTTGTGAAGAACGAATATTTATCTTTGTCTTTTGACCTTAACAAAGCTTTTTGCTTTTTGTACGCTCCGTTTTGGCATCATTTGATATTCTTAACACAATACAGAATTACATTAATTCATGTTTTGAAATTAATGATAAGTGATCTGGTTAAAGTACTATTTAATGAACTGATTAAGGTATTTTTCTATTATTAGAAGGTAAAAGTAATAAAACTTTTTTTAGTGTATTTTTACATTATTTGCATTTAAGAAATAATAACTGAACTTTCAATATTAATTAGTAACTATTTAAAGGTAATTCATTATTAGAAAGTGTATTTTCTTTCTACATGTTTTTGTTATTTAAAAAATATTTTCGTCCTTGAGAAAAATCTTCTGATTTTTAAGTGTCGTAGGTTGGCAAGCATGTAAATGAATTCAGGTATTATCGTCGAAAATAATATTGCAAGAATGATTCACTTCTGTTTTATTTTTTAAAATAAGTTTGAGCATGGGTTGTTTATAGTTGGGAGGAACAAATATTAACCCAAATTCCTCTGTATCAGTTTACTGTATAACTTAAAATTTTTGTTATTGCTGGTTTTATATATATATTTCTTTTTGGGTCATAGCAGCCAGGACAGACATTTCCTCAAGCCCAACCAACTACAACTGCTCCAGTCCAAGCTGGAGCTCCAGCTGCTGCACCTCAGCCTACCCCTCAGCCAGCTGCTCCACCTACTCAACCACCACCAGCATCTGTACCTCCAGCAGTACCACCTGTCCAACAGGCTCCTGCTGGTGCCCAGGCACCTCCTGCACCAACTGGTGTGCCTGCTCCTGGTCATCCTCAACCTTTCCCTCCAGGTGCACCTCAAGGCCAGTGGCCTGCACCTGGACCATTTGGTCAACCTTTTGGCCAACAACAACCAAACGCATTTGTTGGTTACAATTACCCAAGCTATGGACAACAACCTTTCACAGCTGCTGCGCCTCAATAATAAGTGAGTTATTATTTTTACATTACTGAGCTATATACTAGCTTCTTATTTTTAAAAGTTTTCATAATTGTTTTTAATGTTCATTACAATAAGGAAAATTATAATTTATTAATGTTTTCCCCTGAATACTTTTTAAAATAATTTTTTTAAATAATTTTTGTGTTATGCTTATATAATTTGCATTTTATATATTTTTTTAGCATTAAGATTATAAACTTGAGTATCATATTCTTTAACTGTGTGTTGTGCTTTTACAGCACTTAGTCAGAAAATTATATAAACTGCAGAGATATTTTTACAAAATATTCAAGTGGGTTTTTCTTAATTTACTGTCTAATTGTTTTGAATTTTTGCAGAAGTAATTGTCTTCTGATTGGTCTAATTCCATGTTAAATTAATCTTGCTGGTCAAATTGGGGTTTAAATTTCTTGTATGTAATATCATACTTTTTTTTTTTTTTGTTGGTACCTCAGTCTGCACTGGCAAACAGTTTACAGTAGTGAGCTTTCTTAGATGCAGGTTTCCCAAGGGTTACGGGGAGTGACAGTACATTAAACTGAGTATTGAAATATTTTTAAATGGAAGGTATTAAGAGACTAAGGTAACTGATTAAAAGAATTTTTATTTCAGTCTGTCAAATCACCATGTCTGTATGTCTAATGTCTGCCCTAATGTCCAAAGTGATTTGCTGCGTGCCTGCTAAGAATTTGCCAAACTCCTGTATAGATTGATACTTTTTTCTGTTGTGTTGTTCTTCATACGATGTCATAAGTCCTGCAGAACTGTCCTAAATAGCATTTTGATTTTAATCATAAAATCATAATTCTTTTGAAACAAATGTTTGATGACATTTATGCTTTTTACGGTCTTTTCAGCGACACCGCTCTATGTTTTCTTAAACTAAAAAATTGCTGATGTAGATCTCGCATTAACTTTCGTAAAGCTGGGGATATGTAGGCTGTTATCCTTTTCCATTTACTTCTTCCACACAATATTGATTTATTTTTCAGTTTATGAGTTACAGCAATATATGTGTGCATTTGTTCTTGTTATTTTGTGAATTGATTACATTTTGAATTAGAATTCTATGGAAAATTTGTTGTCTCCACACCCAAGAAAAGTTTTCATGTGTTGATTGCAGGTATAAGTTAAATAAAGGGAATGATGTTGCTTAGAAATTTGGGTGCTTTTCCGTTTTACTAGCGCAGGCAATAATCAATTAAGTCACAAATAATGGTACAACTGATGCCAAACTGAATATCCTCGCTGGTAGACTTTAATGCCTCATTTTCAAAACAAGTCACAGCCATTTCTTCTCAAATTGATTCTTTCAATACGAGCCTACAATTACATAGAATTTTTACCAGATTCACTTTTATGTCCTAAGGGCATTCATGGTAATTAAGTCAATTAGGATGCAATTACACCGCTCACCCGAAGGTGAAAGGATAGAAAAGGCAAAGTCAAGGGTTAAATTCATCAATTCTAATAAGAATGCACTAGCGAAGTAAAGCATTGAGGTTTTACATAATTTCTGAGTAAGCTATTCGTACGAATTGAAATAATTCTTGCATTTAAACTTGTATTCCAAATTAAGATTTAACTTGAAATTAATGTAGATAATTATGGAGAGAATTAGATTTTTGTAGCGTAGTTTACGTGATGGGGTCATGTGATATGAACCAGCGAATCAGGATACTGAAACATGAAAGCATAGTAAATTCTTAAATGAATGCCTTTATACAAATTTATTGGCTTTTTACAAAATTTTAAACGATATTAAAATGTTTATGCCTTCAAAATAAAAAATTCTTAAAACTAACATTTGTTAAAATTTATTATGTGTATACTGTCTGTTGTCGCCAGTAAAGTCTGCTTGGCGAGATTGTGCCGGCGAAACGGAAAAGTACCGAAATTTGTTGCATAGTGGGAAGGCTATGATGATTCCTGACGTACAAATAAAAGTAGTTTTGTAAATTAATGGCCCAAAGATATTAATGAAATTGTATAATTATATTACCAAGTTTTATTTTTATATGTGTGTTTACAGTTAAGATAAAAAGTCAAGTGTTTCTTATTTTTATCTTAACTTTAATCCACACATTTAAATAAATAAACTGACAAGTATGATGAAGTTCAATTTTTATTTATATGTGTGAACCTAAGTGATGAAGCATTAAAACAATTAAATTGTAAATACATATATTTATTTTGATAATTTTAAGTATTTAATAATACTTAAAATTATAATTTTATACTACATATTAATGTGATTATGAAATTATTTGATTTTTTAACTAAATTTTGTTTTTATGAGTGGATTTAAAGTTAAGGTAAAAGTAAGTTTTTTTTTTACTTTTATCTTAACTTTAATCCACACATATAAACTTATTAATACAATAAAAGTTAATTCTTTTGGGTAATACTTTTCCTTTTATGAATGCCCATTCTTCTCATTTGTATGCTTAATCCATTCCAGAAATTATTTGATACATTCTTTTTGCTTTTCAAAGTTTTTTCTTTTAATTCACTTTTAAATCATATCATTTATATACTTGAGAAAGTGCCTGATTAATCGGCTACTATGAAGTATTTTGGGAGTGTCATGAATGTGCAAGAAATTTGTTAAAAGTCCACTTTTTAACACTAGTACAAAAGCCTTTTAATTAAAAATTTAGTGTTAACTTACTAGAAGCATAGTTATGTATGAAAAGTAAATACTTTTGAACAAATTAAAGTACATTAGACAGTTTGCAAATTGACGAAGTGGTAAAAGTCATTGAAGACTGGTAGATCAACCTAATTCAGAAGTCAAACAACAAAAATCCAATGTTATATTTACAAAATTTTCACAGAAAAATGTGTACTGTGAAAATTTTGTAAATATAATGCTGATTTTTGTTGTTTGACTTCTGAATTAGTATTTATTCGGCGTGTTACTGTGTCTTAATTAGATCAACCTAGGTTTTATCCCCGTTTTTGTGTGGGGGAGGGAGTTAGAAAGACCTCCACAGAGGCACCCCATCCCTCATGTGCTCTGCCTTAATCAAATAACCAAACGGCATAGTAGCTACGTGGTAATTCAATTGTAATATCAGTTTCTTGCTACGTTCAAAATTCATTAAAATAAAAGAAACCACGGTGGCATGAAAGATTATCTAAATTCACTTCACAGTCTTTTGATTATGTGCCAGCAAGTTATAGTGATAGATTTGTTATAATTTACATATTTTCCTATTGACTGAACATAGTTCTCATTAAATATAAAAGCTAAAAGCAGGCATGTATTCCATCACACATGCAGCAGTTATTCGGGCAGTATTTTGAAGTAACATGTTCTTTATTTAAATATTAAACCACAGAATATCTTTATTTACATAATCAACAGTTGCAAATTAAGGATACAGCATATAAGAAAGAAAAAATAGTAAATGTGAGCTCAAGCATTAAAACTTGTGCCATATGTTCTGAGAATCAAAAATTGTCAAGTCATTTAAAATAGCAACAAAATAAAGCTTGTTTGTGAACTCCATAAATTCATCTAAATACAAATTTAAGAAGTATTGATTTGTTCCACTCTGTTTTTATAGCATCATTTTGCAGAACATAGTTAATAGTTGTTTGGATCTTCTAAGAATCCAAAACACATGTAAGTTAACACGTTGAGCGCGGCGCCGAATTTGCTGTCCTTTCCCTTCAGCTGGCAGCGAGCTAAGCCGTATTTTTGTTTAGAATGTTTCAATACATTTCATTAAAACTAAATTTGATCACATTTCATTGAGACTATATTTATTTTTTAACTTTAATACTGTCAGGCCTGCGGACCAAAGCCAGCTATATGAATACTCCAGTGCCGGTACCTAGGGACCGACGCTGGCCACACGGAAAGTTCACTGCCATTCCCCAGAGACCGGCGCCGAGCTCAACGTGTTAAAAACAGAGCTCATGAACTACTTCAGTGCTGGCTTATTGAGATTTAATCAGGCTTGCATAAAACCAAAGCAAAACTTTCAAGAAGTGGCCTGTTTTGATACTATTATTCATTACTAGCTCTAACACTAATCGGTAACCCCTTTTTTGTCTGAATGTTTGAAGGCATAACATAACTGCTGATTATTTTTATGAATCTAAACTTTGTGAAGATATTCAAGAAATATTTTGATTTAATTTTTAAAAACCTTTTAAACTGTTTATTCGAATTGTTATAGTTTTCTTATATACAGTATAGTCTGTGACCCTTTCCCTTGGCTCATTTTTTTTCATTGTTTTATTAGGTTCTTAAGATACATGCCAGTCATATATATATATATGATACACATACATCTTCATGTTATTTGTCGAATTTATAGATGGGTATCTTTATTTTGTATTTATTTATTAACATGAGGATGGCTGTGTTGTGGCAACATGGGGGCCCACCAGCGGCCAAGCGGTAAAGACGCGGAACACTGGTAGGTCCGAGGTTGGTTTTCTGCATGTTTAACATGTATGCGAGCCAGTTTTCCTTGGAAAGTCCTCCACGAAGGCATCCCTTTCTTTAGGCAGATAGCCCTCATGTGCACTGCCATAACTGAATACAGTCAAAAGTCGTTAATTCGGACACCCATAATCCGAAATGATCTATAATCCGGACCTCAAAGCTAAAAACTTTCTGCGCATGCGCCGCGTTGACACATGCGCATAGGCGTTTACACGTGGGCGTAAGACCTTTACGACTGCGCATGTGTGTGTGTGCAAGCGCAGATTGCGTTTTCGCGTGCATGTTTAATGTATAACGGACGGTATAAGCTAAAATTATCTAATTATCTATTTCAGTTAATGTTGATGATTGCGTTGTTCCTTAATCTTTGAATTGGATCCGGCTTATTTTTTGCAGACTGTAAGAGCAATTTTATAAAAGTAAACTTGAACTTTCGATTATGTCAAATAGAATTTCCGATGCTGGAGCTCCCAAAGGATCTTCAAAACGAAAGTATGTTTCGATGTCCATCAAACAAAAAGTG